TAAGGAGGCTGTAATAGAAAGTTCCAATGACTTTTATCAGCACTTAATAAATGAAGAGTCTGGATTGGAAATAGAACTTAACGATAACATATGGAAGGACATTCAATCTCACACATACTTAGTGAGCTGCGTATCATCAATAATATTGATGACAATTATAATTATAGTTGTTTGTTATGGTCCCAGGATAGTTACGTGTACGAAAACAGGAACACATCGACTTCGACAACACCCTAAATCATCAAAAGCTGATCCGCCACACCCACAACGTGCACCAGATCAAGGCAACAACCAGCCATCTACATGGAACGCCATCTACAGCCAGCCGAACCAACTACTGAAGCCTCCCAGGAAGCAGCCGGAGAACCAGGACGCAGCCAAGGATGACTCCATAGAACTATATCAAATGGAGTTGCCTGTTCCTCGGAGAGGGCAGAATGTTCACACATGAACGTGCCATTTCAGCGAGATAATCCTACGTGATTAAAATAAGGAAAACATATTACTTATTAAATATATAAAACTAATAAAACATCACGTAATCACGTAAGGTATATAGCACTGAGATGGTACATTACACGCATAGCACACAATCATAATGTGGTATGTGTGTACATAGGATAAGTTTAGTATATAAGATCATGTAGATTAAGCAATAAAGGAGTCATTAAGTTGATTCCGACTTTGACTCACTACCCTTCCTCCACCTCTCACTGTGGCCAAGACACCCTTAGCCATCAACCGATCTGTCGTGTGAGTCTGCTCGACAGGCAGTGAGAAAACCATCACCACCATACCCCATTCCTACCCACATTCCGTCTGCCATCATAGGTCTCAGTTGGCAGATATCCTGCACCTATCTATATAAGTATATATAAATACGTATAGTAGGGCTAGGGTCTAGGGACTGTAGGGCTAGGGCATTAGGCGCGTACGAAGAGTAGGTCTGTATCACAGCATACCACAGTGTACCACTATAGTACGTGCCTTAGGTTAAGGGCTTGGTAGTAGGTGCGTAGAAGTGCTGGTCTGTATCACAGTATACCACAGAGTACCAAGCCTATACGCATTGTACGCTAGGCAAATATAGGATAGAACTTAGACTACATAGGTTATTGGGCTTAGGGGATCTAGGATAGGATATTGTAAGTGTTAGATTATCTAGGATAGTGTAGGATAACGTTAGCTAGTAGTACTTAGGATTAGGTATTTAGTCCTGTACAGCGCGATCTTAGCGTAAGGCTATTATCACGCTGTACAAATTGCAATAAAATATATTATTTATAATTAAATTCTTTCTATCCTGTACGCATATTTGTTCGTTGACTAAACAATTTAATATAGGTAGTATAGGAAATATCGTCAGAATATACCTACCTAACACTAGCTATTATCGCGCGATTTCACTTGCTCCTCAGCTCCAATAGATCGTAGCGTCTTATAGCCTAAAGGTAGCCTTCTTCGATAAATGAACTCAGAAACACAAAAAGAATTGTTGCAATCGGACCAGCAGTTCCGGAGATTAGCGCGTTCAAACCCAATAACTAACAAACTTTACGCTTTTTTAATATTAATATAAGTATATGTACATTCACAGTTAATGTTCTTGTTCTACGTATCAAACTAATATCAATAAACACATAAGGACATACATATGTATAGTTACAAAACACATAACAAAAGTATTGACTCACGAAATATTAATTTGCGTATTATTCGTGAATTAGAATCATATCTGAGGATAATTTTATTTGTTTCAAACATATTTCGTATTATAAAAGTTAATATGTAATTATTAATAACATAAGTAACATTTTCCTCATTCAACTAAAGGTTCTATAAATAAATAAAATAACGAACTATACGCGCTTAGATGTTTATGTAAACTAGTAGGTACAAACAAGATTTCTATAAAGCACCTAGCTTGAATGAAATTTTACAGGAAAATACCTAATAAGTATTAAATTTATCAAAAATTTCAAAATAATAATTATTTTAGTTACAAATAATTATAATATGTATTTAGGTGTCTATTATGTAATCGTATATTAATTAAAGACGATAAAATAAACAAAATTTTGTAAAAATAATTCTTAAAAGTTTAAAGTTCCGACGGCACGCACCCGTTACACGTTTTCGCTCGACCACTCCAACGTACAGCGTTAATATCTTTTTTATTTTTAGAAATATTATAGTATCTAATTTCTACACACACCATGATACTGTTTGTAGATTGAAATACAAAATTTATATTCCTATTTAAACAACCAACTAATTGTAGGGGCAATACAGCGATATATTTAGCAACTAAGCGCTTCCCTACACCACAAAACTGGATCCAACAAAGGAATATTGCAGTATATTATTATCAAATGAGCACAATTTTGGTTTTAATTAGGTTGTTACTTATTAGACTGCAAGCGTACCGCAATAATAGCATCACTCGGTATACAGAAGCTCAAACTAAAATTATAGATGTGAGAGTTTGTTTGTTATGTATTCACACCAGAACGGTTGAACGGATATTAATGAAATTTGACTCAAAGGAGGCTAGATTAATAATTGTTCTTCCCAAATGAAACAATCTTGTAGATTTATTGTCTTCTGAAGTACCTATAGGTAAGCGTAGGAGTATTAAAATGTCTAAAAAGTCCTATTTAAAATGTGTCATATTATAGTCTGGGAAAGAACACATACATACTGCATGTAATTTCTAAAAAATTATGATTACAATAAAAATATATTTTCGCTTTAGCTATCGATATCGCGGTTAATCACTTTTTTTATTTATCATATTAACAGTTAACACAGGATTATCACTTAAAATAGCAACCAAAAACCAATAAGGTTAATACTTTTGCTCACTGGAAGCTTATGAATTCGGAATACGAATATATCGAATATCCGATTCAAATAATAAGAAGGTACCTTATACATTTGGTACAAAATATCCCGTGTTTGTACGTTGACCACTAATTGCATACAAAATATCTGCATCAAAACAAGCGCGAGTATTAAAATCGGGAACGATTTTAATTACACCTGTGAAGTGTAATTACAAAATACTCATTTTCAATACGACTTTCAGTATCAATGCTCAGGAAAATGAGCGTTTCATTTAGCTTGTACTACGGAGCCCAATACACATTATTAAAAAGGACATGTACCTAGGTAAGTAAATATAGCATTCGATTTTTGTTGTAATTATCAACTAGTATTTTATTTCATCATTTCAATGTATTACGATAGATTAGAATGGTATGATATAAATGATCTGATAACTTTATACGACCAGTACAGCCTGTCTGTTATTCTTCTATATCGACATTTAAATATGTAGGACTGTCCATCAGTTTTCCTAAACCACGAAAACGGCTGCATCGATTTAGCTAATTTTCTCCTAAGCCCCATTACCGAGTCTTAAAGTTTTCGTGTCCGTCTTGAGGTTTAGAACGTCAGAACAACATTATACTAACAATATTAAAACAACAACATAATGTTATGAAGATTAATAATAACATTAATTTTCTTTCCCGTACAAGTTGTTCTTTAAGTGATTCAGTCTGGGTCGCAGGAAGAACAATACGGTACTGTGTACCCGGCCTGACGCAGGAGAAGGAATGGTGTTTAGTCAGTAAAAGTCTGACACTCCGTCTCCCCTTACCCTGAGCGAGAGAAATAACTTGATAATTTTCCCTCTCACAAAAAAAAAGTGACAATCGATATTTGACAAGGACAAAAGATGGCCTTAAGATGTAAGCTAAATTTGTGACGATCAGCAGTTCATTGGATCACTTAGACATCGGTAATATAAAAATCATGATACCGAAATGCGGACATAATACTCAAAGGCAACAAAAAAGAAATTTCATTATAAAATTAAAATGCATCGCAGTTAACATGTTTCAGCATTCGCAATAAAATTTCGTATGAAAATATTCACCCATATTTACCTTGTTAATTTCAGTGTCGTTTTAAATGCTTTAAGCTGCTTTATTAAATGTTCAGCTACACTACAGTTTCAGTCGCGTTTCATATAAAAATAATACAGACATTTTCTAGTCTTTACAGCTTGTAAAAAGAACATTTGTTTCTATGCTTTTATTGAAGTTAGACGTAGCTTGTGTTTGGTTTCGTGTCATTTTCGTCTCTGCATTTATTTTAGAATTTGTTTAAAAAAATAAATAATGCAGATTGAACTGACTGCCTCGTTAAGTACCTAACTACAAACGCCACTGCCAAGCAAAGGGCTTATATTTGTCGGGTGATGTAGGATTTTTGTAAGTTCTTTTACTAACAGTAGTCTAGAAACTTACCTCCTATGGCATCAGCTTTTTATTTAGTGGTTATCCATTTTAATACTTAACCAAACAATGATGCGATAGTTTATTACTTTATGAAATTTGCCACTTAATTTTATAACGTGTCTTAATAAACTAATATTATAGCAAATCTACAAGCCAATAATAAAACTATAAGAATACAAAATCGCTTTAATCGTTGCTCCTCAATTACATCTCCACTCCTTTTGTAATTAGACATAATAGACTATGTTTATTATTCTTAAATTAACCAAGTTACGGCTTTAAAACATTATAATTGAGTTTAATTTCCAACTACTATTTTTATTGGAGACGAAAGTTCTTAAGTTCTCTTCATGAAACCTTAGTGCTTATCATCTTTTGTTTAAAGATAGCAATTCTAGACTTTATTGTTAATCAGATAAGCCTTAATAACACTTGCCACGTAAAAGCATCTGTAATGCCTGCTTTTTAAAATGGCCGCTTGTTCTTTCCTATAGAATCGATGTGTTATTTCATAAGATTTTTAGATAAATGTAGATACTTGAGTTAAAAAAATAAACACATATAGATCTTTTGTTTTGGTGTACAATAATGTTATAGAGGTCGAGTAGTTGGTGCAATGACACTGAGCGCCTTCAAATAAACGCAAGATTCAATCTCAACGTCGAAAGTATTATAATTATTATTTTTCAATTCTTATATGAGGCCTAGAAAATATAAAAATAAGGGTATAAATGTGCTATGAGAGTCTTTACTTAGAAAACCTGATGTGATATGCAACATTAGCCATTTTCGTCTCTAACTTACTTCAGCAATTCACGTCATGTTAATGTAGATAATACCTTTTTCAATTTTAGACTAAATTTCTCATTCAAAAGTGAGAAAAGAAAAAATGTATATTCAGTAATAAAGCTGTATAGAGCTTTACGATACAGACCCCCAATTTCCTCTTGAAAAACTGAATGGCGATATTGGCCTATTTTACCTAGCTAAGTATAGCTTGAAGTATATTTTTTATTCAATTTTGTCTGCACTCTGTCCTGTGTCTACATATATTTTCCTATCACAGGTAACAGGAAGAAAATCCAACAAGAATATGCAGTATAAGTATTTAAATTTTAATAAAAATGTATGATTTAATTTAGTTATATAAAGTAAAAAGCCTATGTATAATTCTACTAGTACGTTATTTTTGACAAAACTTACATTTTATTAATTTTATTTTTTTTGCGAAGACTAGATTGATGTGCTCTTTTTTAAGTCTTTCTTATTATATGTATGTTTTCCTCTATTTTTGCTAAATATCAGCCAATTAATATCATTCAGTCAGTATTAAAAATGATTTAAACATAGAAAAGAATCTCCATCATAATTTGAAGATCCCGTCAACGTTCTGTATCATAGTAACATTCTACTAGCCCTCCTATTTATACCCGAAATACCCGAATAATTGGTTTCCCTTAATCACCACTTCTACCAAAACAATCTAAATTAGCAAGCGAAAAATATAAAAGAACAGTCTTGGCAAACGAATTAGGGAACACAATTTTAAACACCAAACAATTTAGTATTTAAGAAACATTTTAGTCTTCATTTGAAACCTAACCTAAGATGATAAGAATAAGAACTTGACAACAAAATATTTCAGCATATGTAATAGGTATTTGTATGCACAGACTATATCTGTCGATGTCGATCGGCGGCTCGTACTATGGGTATTATGAGTGGCAAGCGATGAGCTAGATAGCTTAACCTTAACCTTTGGCTCGTGTACAATAGAGTTACTATAGTACTTGTAAGTTGTTTGTGTTACTTTGTTTCATATTGTTATTTCAGTACAATATCAGCGTGTACCTACTTACATTTTCTTTGCGTTTCATATTGATTTGGATCTCCTAATATCGACGACGGTCTTTGCACGGGATTTGGAGCAATGCTCCTAGTTTTATTTCTGTCGTAAAGTCGAAACTCGCTTAATGACATTCTACCTAAAGGTTGTTGAAAAGCCTATAGTTATAGATAGCCAGAATTAAACCTGGAGATCGAGGGTATATATCACTAAATACATACTATAGTTAGGTACATTTATATATAGAACTATGAGCGCATAAGATTATTAGGAACGTTTAAGAAGGCAGGCCAAATGCCCTAATGTATTTGAGAGAGAAATGTTTATTATAAAAATGTCTGGTCGGTGTGATAGAAAAAAAAGTTATAACAATCCATTTTTAAATTTCGTGAAAGAAAATAAAGATGACGACGTCCACAGACTTGTAAGGGACGAGTGAACTATAATGAAGGACTTTAAGATCTATATTTCTAGAATAAGTTTATAATATAATAGCGTTACCTTGTATTCTATAAGATAGGTGGCGTTAGTTGCCAAGCACTAGCGCAAACCAAATGTAAAATTGTGCATTTATTTTGTGTAAAGCATTTTATTTATTTATTTTCACTTATATTTTACTCTCTATCTACCAAATGGATTGTAAACTTCATTACGGTACATTTTTACAACACCATTTTCTTTTAAATAATTTTAAATTGTTAATTTTAATGACTTAGTAAATTCTTTTTGCGATTAAATAAACATTTTTAGTTATTCATTCGGTGTTAATTTTTTGCGGGATGAATTTTCCTACCCATATGGTGTACAAGAGCAGCCTTACCTAATACAAAACTATATTTGCCTATTTATATCAACACTCAATAGCTAAATAGAATACTAAATTAATAAGGTAATTTTCTTTTTTCATTCCTACCTACTTTATTAATGGGTACTTGACATCCTACTGCAATGCATATGAGTTTAAAATCTTATAAAATAACTGTCCAGAATATGCGTACGCGCAGATTGGCGCTCCCCGACTATTTACTAATAGATAGAACACTACTATTACTAATTTTATCAATAGAAAGGCAAAACAGAAGCTTTACTAAGATAATCAAAGACAAAAATATTAGGACCTAGGTAGGTAATAGAATGCGGCGGACCAAATAGCAAAAATGAAAAATAAGTAATACCAGAAAATTATTTGCATAATGTACCTTACTATTGCTATTCAATATTGAATATTATAGAGTATGTCGTCCGGATGTGCGCAAGCGCACGTGTCCTTAAAAACCATTAAATTGATATTTTTTTAAACAGAAAAATATTTATAGTAGGTAAGTACACGTAAGCTTTCTACTTTAACTAACTGTCGGTCTTCGAGGAGAAATTTAAAAAATATTTTTTTAATGATATATTTATATGCACATTGTAGATCTGTTTTTTTTTTAATATGGAGCGTATAATTTTATATTATTTATCTTATTGGGCTTCTTAAAGCTTTTCATTCAACATTTTATAGTAATGTGCTATGTTTCAGGAAGAAATATCCCTATGGCCATCGTAACTTAGTAATTCGTTTCGAACTTTATAGCTATCAGCGACTGATTTTAAAGAATAACATCTAATATATAAAATAACTCACAGTATGTAAATACATTAATGTTTATGTATGTACCTATATATATGCACAAGTTTTTTTAATAAAGATGGGCTCATCCATTTTTATTAACTCCATGTAATAAATTGTACATACAATAAAAAAATGTTTTTTTTTTACTTTTAACTTTATAAAATGAAAACAATTGTTATGAGACTTGGTAAAAAAGCTTTTATAGACATGGTGCATGTACATTTAAATAAAAACTACATTAAAATTAAAAGAAAAAAATTTTGTGCAAACTTATAAAAAAAGTATTGAACTACAATTAATAATTTAAATAAAAACTTTATGGTACAAGTGGTGCTTGAAGAAAACAAAGTAATGGATAAAAGTTTGAAAAAAGTAAAAAAGTTTTATGACATAAACAAATGCTTGATAAAAAAATAAATATTAAGAGTGCCGTACCCAGTGCATCGTCCCCCTCTCCTCGTATACTCCCATCTGGGGTTCAATTTTTTCGTTTGCTATTTTCGAATGTATGGGCCTTTGCCCCACAACACTGCAGCACTCACTCGCGATACATGCGTGCGATCTTTGTCGCTGCCGATGCGCAACTAACTCAAGCAGTTTGCCCCACCAGAGAAGGAGGGACGATCCGCCCAAGGTAACGCCCCTCCCCCACCAAGATTAACATTTTTTTTAAATCTGTTTACCAATTTTTTTCCGCCGTTTAAAGCATTTCGGCGCAATAAATGCCTGCAATTTTTTCACTCGGTCATTTGTACCGAAAAAGTTTATAGCTTCGAGTACGCAGGTTGTTATAAAATTATCATATTGGATAGTTTACGGTGATCACTTTTTTTCTTTAATTCGTATGATATTGTTATAGTAAATGCTTGGCGGCTAGAATGAAAGGTTTTAAAGTAGACAAATTAATTATTCTATTGTTTCACATAACAAGTTTACGATGTAGTAAAATCCGCGCGTTTTAATTGCCCAGAAGTTGAGCTATCAACAGAATGAAATTCATTGTTTAGAATAAGAAAACGTAAAATAACCAGGCTCACAAGCTTCAAAGGCCAGGCGCCGCAATAAATTCATTTAGAACTAGCCCGTACTCACTTAGATATTAGAAATGAAGTAGAAAGCTTAGTCAATCCAGTCAAATTAACATGTACCTACCTATCTATTTATTCAGGCTACCTACATATTCAAAAGAAACAAATTTATTAACTCACACCTTGATTTTAATTACAGAAAAAATACAAATTACATTAATATAAATCTAATTTAACTGTAATTACTACAACATATTTGAATACAGAATACAATCTATTGTAGATAATCGAACAAATACAATATGTTATTTCTCACGATTGCATGACGAACCTGAAACAATACAAAAAAGTATTACCATAAAACTTTATAAATAATTTTAAATACTATATTTTTTGTAATACCTTCTTTTCAAATTAATTATAAAGCTCGAATGAGGAAATGTAAGCACGCGGGCATACTAAAGGTCATACAACGCCATCTATGATTTCGATGGAACATTATTATTCCTGATGAGCGTTGTGCCCAAGCTTGCTGTATTGTATACGGGGTGAGTTGGACGAACGAATCACAGTGGAGGTAAAGCGTGGTAGAACCACCATTTATTAATAATGTAAATTGTACATTGTAGGTGTATATAGTGACATCTATGAATCCATACGAAAAAATTACGAGAGAAAGAGAAAGGACGTAGAAATTTAGCTTTCAATATCTAACTTATAAAAAATACGATTCCATAAATATTAATTTAAAAATAGAAGCCAATTCCATTTTTGATGATTTAATTTGTGGGAAAGAAATTTTCATACTTGAATGATTAATATTATTATAAAATATAAATAATTAGGTAGTTACTACGCGACATTTTAAATTAAAACTAGACCTACCTACCTAACTATCAAGACCCCCGATAGTTTACAATTTAATTTCTTTGCCAGATCAGAAACAGTCAAGTACCTACACTTGAAAATATTAAATTTTGAGACCAAATGATCCTTTTAAAAAAATAAGTAGAACGAGCTATTCATGACCTGACTTCGCGTTTACAAGTGTGTTGCTGATTTTTTGTAGGTTATTTGGGATTTCAGGAGGCATTGGGGATTTCGAAGATTGCCGGTGGAAGAAGGGGAGGGGGAGACTGGGTCTTCAGTAACCTCACAGTCACACAGCGAAACACAACGCATAGTCTCACGACGGTATTCCGTGAAATCGTTGCATAACTCAGTTCGCACCAGCCCATTCGTGCTGAAACCTGGTTCTCCCACACTTGGTATGGGGAAAAATCCTATACAAGTATTAAAGTACTAAGGCACTCTTCGATTGAACCATTTTGACTCTAAATGTCGACGAATTCAAAAGTTTCGAGTGTTCGCGTGGCCCCTCTTCATTAAAAGCGCTGTGAGCGAACCCTAACGAAATGTGTGTGAACTATTCTTTATACACAGCGATCTTATTGTTCAAATGAATCAATAGGATCAAAGAATCTGTAGAGGTTAACATTTTTGTTTTAATTCCAGAAGGATATAGAAATATTTTTCTTATAAAGTTTTGATGTTTGGGCAGCTTTTTGTGAGTTTGTTTTCCAGATTTATATGTATCTACTTTCTTAAAACTGTTTTTTTTTTAATTTAACTCTTTATTTCAGGCTACTAAGGCCTATAAACACTATACATAAATTACAATCTAAGAAACAATAAACTAATACATAACAAAAATTTTACAAAAATTATTTAAAATTATTTAGAGACATCATGAAGAAACGTGGACTTTATTATTTTGAATTAGAAGTTTAATTAGCCAATCAGAAAACTACACACTACAGGACAGTGCGCTTAAACTTTTGGGTAATCTCGAAGATATCCATATATATATTTATATTTAAGGCATATTGACGCAAACAAGGATACGGTTTATAAACAATAAGGGCCGTCTATATACACCCCCGCAACACGCAATAGGAATTGCCGCATGCATATTCGGCCATTTAGGAATCAAGGATTTGAGGAATTACAAAATTTTGTAAATTGTAACTGGACTGAGGCCTCTATGGTAACTTTTCACTCATTCACAGGAACAAAATTGAAGCGTTGTTTCAGTCGCTTTTGGGTTCGCGGTATCACTACCATTGAGTCCGCCTATTGGCACCGAAATAAACCTCTCCCTCAATAAAAATGAACATTTTTCATCGACGATTTAAATACTTTATACTTTTGATTCCAGTTTTATGTTCAATTTTAATTTTTAAATTTTGTTTATTGTTCTTTTAATAGAGCTTTGAATGAATATAAAAATGAATATAAAATGTAACATTATTTTCAACACTTGTGTTTTTAATACACTGGAACTCAATCGGAATATTTGGCAAAATAAATTCATTTCGATGTTAAATTTTCATTTGCATATCGTTTTTGTTTAATAACTCTTTTTATTTTATTATTTTTAAATGTGTACCTACATTAGGTCGCTATCACGTCTGATGGTAAACGATAATGCGACTTACGATGGAGCACCTATTCACTCGGGCCTTGTAGCCACCCGAGTTATACCCTACAGTGAACACAGACTCTGGCAAAGAATTCAACTCCTGTTTTTATAATAACTATCTAAATAAATATAGTGAGGCATACTAAATTAACTAAAAATCGCGGGTTACTCACGTGTGTAATTGAGAAAAGCTCTACTAGTTTCAAACCACAGAGGGATCTTCCTCATGAGCAGCGTGCGCGGACGTTCTCAATATATTATACACGTGAGTACCTAATCCGCGATTTTTAGTTAAGTCAACTCCTTAGATTGAAGGCTCCTCGGTTCGGATTATAAAACTGGAGGCGAACAGCTTCGTGCGTGTAGGTTTCTTAACTTACTTTAAACTATTTTCTTTTTTTCTTTTTGGTAATGCGAAAGAGGGATTGAAAATCTACCACTTGTCTTCTCCTGCTTCAGACCAGGGTCGTGGTATATTATTGAGCTTGCAGCTCCACTGGTGTTCCGGATGTCCATAGGCGATGCTGATCACTTAACATCAGGTGATCCTTCAGCTCATTTGCCTCCTATCGCATAAAAAAAACCCGGTTCGTGCCAACGGTACCTAATTTCAATAAAGTCACACGCCTTGACCAAAACATTCTTAAATTATAAAGTTATGTAGCAGAACTAGTCTACTTCTTCGGAGCCTATAGTCTGGTTACAGTTAATGATAAATATCGGCTGCTTATTTAGACGTTTTAGTAATAGATTAGATTTCTAAGTTAGGCGTTAAAATTGAAAATGTTCCTAATTGTGGATGATGCGCCATCTAGCGACAAAATGGCAGTAGAGATAATCATCCATCCACCTACAACAAAATGGTACCTAAGGTTAAAAATCTTAGAGTAGAGATATGATGTGTACACGTATTTTTCAACACTGCTGGGCTCTGATGGTATTTAAGAAAAATACTACAAAAGCCATGACCATGTGATTACGTAGATAGTATCTCACATGATCAGCCTAGTGTGCCCAATGCTGAACAAAGGTCTCTTCTCACACAATATCCATCACCACGCTTGTTCAAGGCGGATTAGCGATTTCAAACTTATAATTAGAAATTACAAGTCCGTGGCGTCTAAATAATCGTAGAAAGTTGGTACACATAACTCGGCAAAAGTCCTATTGGTATACTAGGTTTTGAACCTCCTAGATATAGGAGAAGCGGGCGCCCTAGCCTCCTGGCCACTACATCTGAGTGATGTGGTATCTAGTGCCTGTCAAACAAAATTATGAAAACCCAGGTCGACCTTAACAATTAGCACATTACGCTCTTATTATTTTCTTTACAAAATCTTGACGTTACTTCAGCTAAGCATTGAAAATTTTGATGACGGAATATTGAGAGTATAAAGCAGTATTCTGTCCTTTGTAATAAGACCGTATGTATCGATGTTGAGTGTACTTAACATGACATACCTAAGTATAACTCTGTGCATTTGCATTTTATAATACAATTTAGAGACTTATTAGAGTTACAATGAAATTTACAGATTAGCTCTAAAAGCATACCGGACTCCCAATCCTTCTCCTGCCCCAAATCCCTAAATTCCCAAAAAGTCAGCAACGCCCTCGTAACTCCTCCGTTGTTTCGGATGCCCATGGGCGGCGCTGATTGCTTACCATCAGGTAATAATGTCTGCTCGATTGCCGTCCTATCACATGAAGAAAAAGAATATCAGCTGAAAGTACCTATTTCTATTCCACCCTGTATGTTTTTCTATGTTGACTATTGACTTAACCTGTGTACCTCAACAAACATTGACGGGGAATAAACTAAGGTTATATTTAGAAATAGTTACCATCCCACACGCGGATATGAGGCCTGGTAGTGCTGTAAGGGTAGTATGCTTCCTCCGTCGAGGTGAGATTCTCAGTAAATGGTTGAAGCCAGGCGTGGGCTGAACAGCAGCCGTGCAATGCACGTTTAGCACAGTCTTCACAAGGCAATTTGTCTGTCTTGTAGTGCAACCAACCAAACCACTCCGAGGTTATCTAAAAACGACACAATCAATTTAGTAAGCTTTTATTTATTTTACTAGCTCGCAACTCCGTTCGTGTGGAATAGTGTCTTCCTGCAGATTTTTGGTATAAAAACTTATCCTGTGTCCTTTCTCGAGTTCTAAACTATGTCTGTACCAAATTTCACAGAAATCGGTTTAGTGGTTTAGGCGTGAAGAAAGGACAGACAGACAGTACTTTCCCATTTATAATTTTAAATAGTTTGGATTTATTTATGTTAATATAGGTACCTACGGATTAGATCCAATTACATTCACAACAACAAACAAGGTAACAACATTCATATGTTCCTGTGCCAGTACCTCATCCACTTTAATAAAATTTCCTTCCATCCATCTGCAAACATATCAATAGTTGGAAAAAAGAAGATTCCAGGTGATCGTTAAGCGAGACCAGAGTTCGAGGACGTGCTATAGATCGAGAATGCGGTGCGGCAAAAACAGCCAGTGCTTTTTACCTCGGCATTAAGTATTTGGGATACAAAAGTGTGCCAATGCCTCCAGGATATCTGGGGCATCTATGGCACCACGAAGCGTCTTCCGCCATAACCCCTTATTCGCCCTCTCAGCGGCTATTAGGTATTAGTAAAGTAGATAGATATTGGCCTAAATCATGGATAGATCAAAGGTCCATATCAGACAGACAACACTGGGTTATGGACCTGTACATAAGAGGGGTATGTCATAAACTCCATAAAACGCAAATAAAAAAGGCACTTTTTTATGTATAATCATAGGCCCTTCTCCTGCCATATAGACAGTAACTATTGTTGCACTAAATAACATAAATCTAAATGATGCTATCTTCGTTTGTAAAAATTAGCCGATTTAGTGACCCAATAATTATAAAACCTAACCTCCAAAGAAATGTGTTGACGATTCCTTTTTGACAAGCACGTACTCGTAACTCCTGCGTTGTTGCGTTGTGCATAGGCAGCGCTGATTGCTTAACATCAGGACGTTTCCCGTCCAATCGGATAAAATAATTTCTCCCAAAACATGGCTCTCCTAAACATATAAAGAGTTTTTACTATTACCTACGTCGACCATCATCTAATAATCTAAGTACGAAAATAAAATTAATATTCTTAAGTATTTCCCAGTAATAAATCTTATAGTCGCGTTTGCAAGGCTGCTGAAGCATTGCGTGGCGTGGGCGACCGCCAACATCCACGTTTCCTATAGCTTCCATACTTCTACAAACATAAATTTAATATATTTTCTACAAATATTAGGTAGGTAGGTACTAGGAGTTGTAACCATTACAAGGTGATTTCACGGATGATTAAGAGGGAATTGCTTTCTTCCTAAATATCAACGATATTATTCAAACTTTTGAAGGAAATTACAAAGACCACTTAATGCCATGGGCATTCTCTGCCAGTCCAAACTTTTGGTAATGCAGAGAGGAATCATCGGTACCTAGGTGCAATTTGATTTTTTGGATAGATTTCTCAGAGTTGTGAAAAGTCCTTTCCTATCGCCGATTTTAGTTTCCATCAAGAGTTTCTTTCATAATTGATATACTATAATAACGAATACAAATAAGTAAGTTCAAAATTCATCCAACAATTTAAATAATAGGATTACAGTTTTTCAATAAGCTAATAATTACTTGTGTATGTAGTGACATCTATATTCAAGTAATTGCAACAAACCACCTCGTCGCTTACATAGTTTAAGTAACGAATTGCCTAGATGGCACTATTTAAAGTAATAGGTAACTCGATACAGTTTCTATGTGAAGCAAGCAGCTTTATAGGTCCATAGTGCTTAAGCACGTGCGACCTAGATGGCGATGGTAATATTAAACATACCTTAAGATTACTACTACGCCGTGAAAAGGAGATATAGGATAATCTGAGGCTAGTGTCAAATACTAAGGACCTTCAAATGAGTCAGGCAGCTCGGGTAGCTTAGTAGCCACTTTTATGCAGGAGCTTAAGAATGCCGTTGCACTGTTTGATCAGAAATGTGGTCTTTAATATAATATTTAAGACTACTTAATTTATATATTTCCTAACATGTTTACTGACTCGACGATAGATATGACCAAACAAATGAATTCTAACTTCTTTCAACTCATATTTTTCCTGATCACGCATCAATCTACACAGTACCTTCCTCACTGCTTACAAAAAAAGCTTTTAAAATATTTTCTTCAACTGGTTTTATCACTCAACTTCTCTTGCGTAGAAATTCCAAAGGGCCATGGTCTAACAAAGTCAGTAAAAATAACGCATTAAACTTACTTGCGTCGCGTCATAATCCCATTTGTAATTATTGTTGAATTCCACCCATCGACTTCGACCGATCATGTAGTTACAATTCGTGAAGTATTTGTTACCGTTTGCATCACAACCGACGTACGTGCCTTCCTGTCGATACATAAAATATGACCGTTTAAAGATAAGTACGGTAAAACGGGATGAATTGAAAATGTCAGGGGTGAATAGATATTGGCCAATTTTTCTAGTTTCTATTCTCACCTCTTCTGTGCCTATTTACCCCTCGAATTCCATTCGACCCGTTTTACGGTACATAATACGTAGGAACCTCACTCCAGTCTCTCCCTTCCCCCCCAAATGCTTGTTTTTTGAGGCGTGTAAATCATCCAATAACTTCTCCCGTCTGGAGTAGGTAGGCTGAGTCAGACTGTTATACCCTTGCTGAATACAAACCACCCTTGAGGTTTTCCGGGACCAGTCTAAGGCCGAATTTGTAAGTAACTTGGACTTTTAATACCTAAGTAGCAAAAAAAGCATCTTTTTCTCTTTTTTTTAACATTGCCCCAAGCTAGTATTTTCTCCTGTGTCGTGGGTGCATTTACAAACATACAATTTCACATGCACATCACACCCAGAACCGGAACAACAATCTGTAGATCACACAATGAGTTGTTCCGTGCGGGAATCGAACCCGCGACACGTTGCGCGCCAGCCACCGCGCCAAACGTGCAGTCAAAATCATCATTGTGATCCTTGCTTATTTCTTACACTTAGAAGTCTGCTTTGGCCATGATGAAAGTTATAAATATGACTTCTTATTAAGTAAGTACTACAGCTAACTGAGCGATTGAGTAATATGGTCTGTAAGTAAATAAGAAGGAAGAGAACTTGCTTTTAGAGTATCGAATCTCCATAACTTATAGAGGCTCTTCATTAGGCCCCCGCTCTGTCGTATCATTCGAAACAATCGCGCCCATTTATCAAGCGCTAAGAAAGACATTTTTCCAAAGTTATATTTTTCTAAAACTCAACACTAATAATGCACGGTATCTAATAACAAGCTTGGATATGAAATTTTTCGTTTATTTTGGTGTTTTTATTAATAGGTACGTCAAACTATATAGGCACTTTCTTTTTTTCGCCAAACCGTGGTGTCAAATACTGACATTAATGACAAATTCGTTAAAAACTAAAAATTTGCAACAAAACTTTTTGCTCAGACAATTAAGAATAAAACAAAATGGGACGATGCCCCAAACGTCGGAAATTCTTTTCAACCAGTCTTACAACCGGTGATTGTATTCTCTGCAAACGTAGATACAAAAAATAAAAGAAACATAAAAGCAACATAATAATTTATTAATAATCACTTGATTCACATACAGATTCACAGCCTAATCCAGAAATAAGAACGAACAATAAAAGACAGATCTCTTACAAACCGTAGCGCGAACTTCATTGCAGACATCACTTTACTAGATTAATTATATGGCGATGTTTATTTTAATGAGAAAAATTCTGATGACGACGCTGCACATTTTACACGAAATATCCTTAAAAATTGATATTAAAAGAGTTAGAATTCCAAAATTGCCTTTTAATATGAAATAGGTCGGCAAACGAGCAAACGGATTACCTGCATAGATTTAGGTATTAGGTTTACGGATATTTAAGACTTGGTGGGGGGGGGGGGGAGAAGTGAAGGATTGGGTCTCTCGTAATCCCACTCACACAGCAAAACACAAAAAGCGTAGTTGTTTCACATCTGTTTTCTGTGAAGCAGTGGTATCACTTCGGTCGAGCCGACCCATTCGTGCCGAAACTTGGCTCTATATTATTATGAACCAACAATATTTGGATGTATAAACTTTTTTCGTGCCATAATCCAATTTGAAATATTTCAATAAAGTGATTCTGCTTAATAAAGTTCGCGTGAACAAGTGATGTAGGTACAATATAACACTTGATAAATAACATTATGTATACTTTAAACAAATTAAATAAAGCCATTTATATATGGGAAGACATTCTCCAGTGTGGAGTAAACTTAAATATAAGTAGTATTGAAGTTTATAGCTAGGAGGGGTGGTTAACTTTGAAGCTTTTAAGATAATATTTTTAAATTTTAATCGGAGACTATAGTGGTGTTCTTCGGGTCTACGTAAAAGGTTTGTATACGAACCACAAAAGGAAGTCCTATTCTGCTTTTATGCTTTTGTTATCACTCAAAACTCTCAATAAATACAGGGTGTAAAAAGACACTTAACGAAGCCGAAAGCCACGTATTCTACCCATTATTTGGATCATTTTATTTTTAGCGCAATTGAATTCTAAGTATTATTACAAAACTTTTTTATATACCTGAATTTGCGATTTTTCTAAATAAATTACGCATTTGAAGTTAATACGCAGAAATAAATGCAGACCCGCACAAAAAGCATCGTGCATCCCAGTAGGATTTTTATTTTACAGAATTGTTTTGTTGTTGCGAAGTAAAACGTCGACCTACGTAATTATCACAGCGTTTTCATGCTAAGCTGTGAACCTACGCACACAATGACACGAAGCCCGTTTGCTTTACATTGCGCGCAATATTTTTTTTTTTTTATACCTAAAAGTAAAAGTCGTTTCCTAGTGATAAATTTAGCGTAAAGCTACTTAGTTAGAACTGCAGTACGCGTAGTTAACGGCTTCGTTAAGTGTCTTTTTACACCCTGTATAGTGAGAAAGACGGTTATAATTTGACCAAATAATGCACATTCAATAATTTGGTCAATATTCGTATCAATTCATTGTCATATTTAACTTTGACTTACAAGTCTTACGCGAGGGTCTCCTTTAAGTTTATGAACATAACTGTGATAGGAGACAACAAATTTGGAGAAAATACCCACCATCCTAGCTATAAACTGTCAAATTAGAAACACACAGTCCTTGAAAATACATTTCAGGGTCACTACGACAATCTTTCATTAAATACTTAAATTTATAAAAAAGAATCACCTTGAAATTCTATAATCGACACCCTAAACAGAACTAAATAAATTAAAAAAGTTAAAAATGAAAAGAAAAACATTTGTACCAAAAAAATCTCCGATCTCTAAATGGCACATATACGTAACCCATTTGAATCTTAAATATACAGAAAAAATACAATTAAGTACTTACAGAACAATTAAGTACGATTCGAAAATTGTATAACAATATTTAAGTAAAAATTACGTCCACCGATATTGGAGTAAAAAGAAAAAGTATAATACAAAATTTTATGGTAATATAAATTATGAATTAATTATCTGTTACCCCTACAACTGCAAACACAAATACAATTTACCATTAATGTAAAATTAAAAAGTATAGCACAAAACCAATATGGCGTCTAATGGTGTTCCATTTTTGAACATATTCGAATAATGCTTATTTCCCGCGCAAACAGAATGGTCCCGCGCGTTTATGATGAGCAAGCAATCGGATGAACGAAGAACACACGAATGATTATAATGTTATAATTGCTATTGAAACAATATTCAAGTAGTTTTACAAACAAAAACATGACAGTAATAATAACCAAAATACTAACAATGTGAGACATCAACTGAGAAAACCTCTACTGATTTTAAGTCACAACGGGACTCTTTATCTATTCATTGGCAGCTTTTCTTAGTTAATTCACGTGAGTAAGGAATTATTTTTAATAACCAGTGCCAAAGGTAACATTCACCGATGCTAGCAGAGCCTTCAAACTATTCTGTTTGCATTCAAATGCTCAAAGAATCGATTTCTTTTTCTATTTATAGCACAAATGATAGGAAAAAAAACTAAATTGTACACATTGCAATATGATAAAACATCTATGTTGTATAAGAAGAAGTGTTACGAAATAATTTCCGTTAAGGTAGACTTAAAGCCTGAAGAGATACCTTAACTTTTAAAAAGGAGTGATCCTCACAGACTTTCCAATAACCCTATAAGAAGCATTTTATAACAAAGTTGTACAACCCCATAATTAGCATTTTATAGCAAATTAATTTACATAACGAACTTTAGATGTACACATAACATAATGAATATTTATTTTACGAAGCAACATCGATTATGTTCATGAACTACCTATTTAGAAAAAACCACTGTCTCCATCAGAAAACATTCATCTTCAAAAGCCTGGAAGATTAAATATTTCTTTAAAGCCAGTACGTAATAAAACAACCAATGAAAATGTCCATACAATACGATTGTTTCCAACTAGTCAAATTCAATACTTTTATCCAAATGTCAAAAACGATAGTTTTCTATGAAATTTTATAAAACTCCAATTTATGACGTCATAGTATTTTTGCGTCAAAAAATTTAAAATTCACTGTATCGGCCGATCGATTAATAAAAGTATTTAGTTTATTTAAGTTGTTTTCCAATATTTTATTGCATAGAAACGCCGAAATATTTTTTTTTACCTAGGAAACTACCCAATAGTTGCTCCAACAACTTTCCTTAACATATTTGAACTAAAAAAATAAAATATCGCACAAATGGAGACTCAAACACTAAACCACTCAACGCTTATAACAATCAATTTTACGAATTATACAACACATAGAAGCATTTAACGATCCTAACACATAATTATATTCGCAATTTTTAAATACTAAACTACTTTTATTAGATTTTAGATCTTATTTCGTTGGAATAAGGTTACTTTTCTTTCGTCCACGCTTGTTTGATTTATAATACATAATTATAATTATAATTGAACCGCAACTTACTAAGAGTTTGCAAATAAGTGTAATACTGTGTAGGGTAACATTTTACTTAAATAAATATTTAATTGATATTAACTATTTTTTTGTATTATCATTGAAACATTAGCAATATCAGATCTCTTAGTTAGCTAAGTCTTAAGAAAGATATATAAATTCAACTTTAATTCACATTAAATAAAATCAAAAATTACCTGCATGTTTCTTTACACTGATTTTCGCTTTTGCCGCGTCCCCTGCAATAGAAACTGTCACGGTAGTTCTATATATTATATAATATTCAATAATGAAAAATGTTTAAAACATTATATTACTTTTCTTCAAAATTCTCATTAATGTTTCAATGACAATATAATCTCAATTTTATTCACAAGTCATTTTATTCTAGCGTACGTGACTTAATAATAACTTACAAATACATATTTATATTAATAAATGTACACAATTATATAGTTCAATATCTTCACTAATACATACTACGGGATATACAAAGTTTTTCATATTACGAACATCACTTATTAACCTGAAATCTATGAAGCATACTTATATAGGTCAAAGGTATCAATGGCATAAAATGTTCGTTATTATTCAAAAACGTTCTATTCTAAATTCAATTTGAAATAAAAACAATTTTGTACATAAGGAGAAACGCAATGGAAAAGAAATAAGTATGTTTTCTAATTTATTAATTTATATTTTATATTAAAATAAAAACCTACAACTGCGAAGGAAAATTTAATAGTTTAGCTTCTAAATGTACCTTCTAATGTACTCATACACTAAGGTAAAACAGCATGAATAGACACAGAAGGGCGGTATACAAGAATTGGCGAATTTCAATCTATTTATAACTATACTATATATATTTACGGAATGCAAATCAAATTTAAAATCAGTTTAGTAGTCCATCGTGGACTCGAAACATGTGACACCAAATTTTTATATATAAAAATTTATTAATAGTGTATCATTGTATAAACCTGGTGTTTATTTATACAATGATATTTTATAAATCTCATTACATGTTTATTGGTACCAAATTATTTACTTATGTCACCTGCCGTGCCATTCTCACCTTTCCATCACTCAAAGGTCGATTATAAGACAATATCTAAAGCGTTAAGTCCACTCTGTGAAGTTTTTATTAAATAAAGAGACAATCTTATTTCCAAAAATCTATTCACTCTACGATTTTAGTCTTATACTGTATTTTCTATTCCGTGGTCTTATCCAACCAGTATTAATAGATGAATGAAATTTCCAACATATTAAATACATAATACACATATAATTTAAGAAACCTTGCCCAACCTGTTTTAAAGTACTTTCTCAATTTTGCTATTAAAATCGATTTCTGAAATTAGACTTGGTAACTTTAGGAGTCCTCCCAGTATGATGGGGAAGTAGATACGAATAGATGAATGAACAGCCTACAGTAAAGAATCATCCCATAGATTCACGTTCGGTCGTGTCATGTATTAGTACACCTTTTTTGTAAATAAACCTAATTGATATTAAATATAAGTATGCTTCTTAGATCAGCCTTAGATACAGTAAAGATATTTAGTATTAAAATTAATAAATAAGGGCGAGTAAAAGTGACTGCTTTATGTATTCCATGATATTTGATTATTTCCTTCAACATCTAAGTACTTACGCAATTCTTGCTGGTCGTTCACATATTAAAAAAGTAAAAGGAAAGACGAATTAGTTTAGAACTTTAACTCTAATTTGTATTAACCACAAAGACCTGTTTGGCATCAATCCCTCTTTCGAAGTAAATACTGACTTTTGAGTATAATAAGTAAATTTAACGAGAATTTTATGTAAATATTCGATAAAAGATTTTTCATTGTGTAAAGTTTAAAGAAAGCATTAGGCTGTGGCCAGTATTATTTATCGGAAAATATAAATAAGGTTATATAATAAATAAGACTACAGAGTAAATAGAAATAAATAAGCATTTCTCTGTTTTCACCATCGCACTGGGGATAAAGCGAATGAACCAAATGTAACTTCGCACTATTGATAATGACTATCAATTATTTTTATGATATATGTTTTTATCATAAGTCAATTTAAGTCAAAAATACTATCACCATCATATTTTTAAAGGACAAATTGTTGCACTTTCTCGGAGACCTGTGTGTGCAGTAAGTGCGTTGCTTCCTTTACATATAAGAATTTAAGGATTGTGGTGTGTTGATGATGCACCGTGATGGAATGATGCAAGTAGATAAATATAAAAATATTTTTTTAATGAAAAATCTGCCACATAGTTTATCTGATATTATGAAAGTCAAGGTGAGGCATAAGCTCAAAATTAACGTGTTTGGTTTATTCGTTGTCCCCAACGGTCATAAATTAATACTTATTATAAGTATTTTATTGCACAAAACTATATAAATTAATGGAATATGATAGGAATTAGGGAATTCTTAAAACGATATAAGTACTTGTGTTTTGTAAGAAAACTAATTGAGTCCAACAATTAATAAGTACGCATAAATATATATAATAATAATTAAAGGTAAATAGTTATTAGGAATCGTACAAGATATTTGTATCATCACAACTTTATAATATAAACTTCTGTCTAAATATCGGATATATTACGGATATTAAGTTGAAAATACCTATTATTACTTTGTAATAATAATAATTCTACAAATTGTATATGGGTACTGATACTAGTGGTATACAAGTATATTTTGGCACTATTTTTACGGAAGTATATTTTTAGTTTCAATACTGTTTTTTCTAATCTAGGTGTAGGATTATTTATTTGACTACAAGGGCTTAGTTTAACACTAGGACAACACTGCAATTCAATTTGAACCTTGTTTGTGCTGAATAGAGCTGTGTGTTGCTTAGTATTAAAGTAAGAACTCACATAGATATATTTATTGTGTAATATTAGAAGCTTAAGAAATATCAAATTATTGCTGTTGTGATATAGAATTATTTATAGCTAAATTGAATGTACGCTGATTAGAAGGCGAGTAGGCGGTAAAGTCTAACACGTAGACTTTGTAAGAAAAAAAATTGTAGTATTTTGTTTTCTTCACAACAGTAAAGCTTGAATAGCACACTTTTTATTATTACTTACAATTTGCCCGAGTTTGATTAATATCTCACCTTTGGAAAAGCAGTAATGCGATATACGATGGAGTACACGTACTCAAAAGCAAGCTATTCACTCGGGCCTTGAAGACATTAGGATTATATTTCACTTCGGGTAACAAAGACTCCGAGAGAAACCGTCGTGGTGGCTCGGAGGTTAAGGAGCCCGCTTCTCATGCATGAGGCTGTAGGTTCGAAACCTGTCAAGTACCAATGTAACTGTTTCCGAGTTATATGTACTTTCTATGATTATTAGACACCACTGACATACGGTGAAGGTAAACATCTTGAGGAAACCTGGACTTATAATTTCTAATTATAAGTTTGAAATCGCCAACCCGCATCGAGCAAGCGTGGTGACTAATGTTCAAACTTTCTCCGTGTGTGAAGAGGCCTTTGCTCAGCAGTGGGCACTTATGGGCTGATGATGATGAACAAAGACTATGGCAAAGAATTCCAATGCTCAGCAGTTCTGATAAAAGGAGGTGCCGAAGCGGTAGACAGAGATATGTGTACCTTATATCAATTACTATTGGGTTCAATATGCGTCAAATATATCAAAAAGAATTTAACAATACCTATTCACCTTCTAATCAGAGTTCTTTATTTTATTAAAAAGCTATTACAAAACGTTTTATTGCATATCCTCATTTAAATGTATAACAATGAAAAATAGTCTTTATTGTTACTATTTTATTAAATACTTAATCGACTTGGCAACTACATTGGAAGAATTCTGATCTAAATAACGGTTATTTGCTTATACATTTCGATGTATAATTGAAACAATTGTACTATTTATCTTTTGGAAGAAAAATGATTTAAGTGTAATGTTTTAAGTAACTGTAAATTTGGCCTTTAGTTGCATTATTATTTTCAAGTATTTTCAATGCATTTTCCCTTGAATTTACGTGTATTCACTATTTATATAATCTGTATCGACAACTGAATTGTCTTAGGTATAAAGAAACCTTGTTATAAATCGACCCAACAAGGGAGAATCGGAAAGATACAACAAGCTATTTATCTTTTCGGTTTTAAAGAATACCATAGCGCCAAAAGACGCAATAAAAAAGAATAACTATATAATATATATATCGTATTAGAAAAAAATCAGAGTATATATTATACTTCGAAAACCAAAATAAAATCTAGCGTCCGACTAACAATTTACGTTTAAAACGAATAATCTTGATTCTTGGTATACTCGTATTTAATTGAAATAAATTATTAACATTGACAAATGACGAGATTTCATGAATATCAGTACATTTTCTTTTACATAAGTACTATGTATATAAGTATATAAGCACTAGCGTATCCCAAAACTAATTTAAGTACAACTAAAACAATTTTATATATAAATATATATATATACAGTCTGTTCGCGCGCCTACTGGTTTTTTCAGAGCATCAACTTACGCTCATGAAATGTATAAATTGTGAAGAATTCTGAAAATTACCCCACTTGCTATACTTAACTCTTGAAGTTAGCACCCATTAAAGTTTATTAATTTAAAACCGTGTTCGAGTATATTTTTCCTGAGTCCATCCACATCAACCCTGGTTCCGTACATGGTCCATATCGAGCCGGATGACCCTAACTAAAGAGGAGATCAGCGATTTTATTTGAAGAAGAGGAATCAAGTACTGAAATTTTCCACCGTGACGTGGAGATTTGCCGGTGGATTGGATTGAGTTCGAACAAATGGTTTTAGCGGTGTACAGTATTTTAAATAACTAATATCATCACCCAACACTCAGGTAGTATATAAGTAAATTATATTTAAGGTCAGTAATATTTATTTAACTACTTATTGTATTTGTTTGATCATTAGAATCATTAGATATTCTGTTACATTGTGATTAGTATTTTATTAACAGTAAATCTTAAGTTTAAATTATACTCACTGCAGTATAGTTAGTTAATTGCTACATTATTTAAACTTAATTTAATCAAAGCTGTAACTATTTCACATAATTTTATAACTGCTTAAGTAGATATAATTATTAGCAGGTATCTTGACATAATACAAATAATTTGAGTGTTAGATATTAGTGCAAGTCATTGTAAAAAATTAACAAGTTATTAGTATTTAATTGAATTAATTGTGCTTATTTATTTAGTTTATATAAAAGTTTACAACATTATAAATTGTAGGTAGTTTTACAAGAAATTATACAATATTAATTAATTTACTATATTAGCTTTATATAATTGATCTTAATTGGTAGGTTCTGTGTCGCTTTATTAAAGCATTTCGGCAGTGTATAAAACACAGTTAGGTCTGTCTTAAAATCATTATTGTTTTCTAAGTTAATTGTATTCCTGTATCAATTCCAGGTTGACAATACTCATCTCCCAGTATGTCCGAGGAAAGGGATTTAATTAAAAAGCGCGGCAGCTTTAAGGGTCGCTTGACTGCTTTCGTCACCTTCCTGGACTCACTCAAGGACAAAGTATTAAGTAGTTGTGATGTGTCCGAGTTGCAGTTGCGCATGGGTAAGATGGAGTCATTGTACGAACAATATGATGAGGTGCAGTTGCGTCTGGAATGCATTGCTGACGATATTAAGGTACATAATTCCGAGCGTACCGAGTTCGAGTCACTTTATTACAAAGCGTTGTCCAGAGCGCAAACCATTCTCAATGACAGTAACAAAGATGATAAGTCGATGGAAAGCTGTAAAAGTACACTTGCTAGCATACACAAACCGGTAAAATTACCAACGATACAATTACCAAAGTTTAGCGGTTCATATTGCAATTGGTTGGAATTTCGTGATACCTTCACTAGTCTAATTCACAATAATGACGAAATTGATGAGGTTAACAAGTTCCACTACCTAAGAGCCTCTCTTGAGGGACCTGCTGCCGTCATCATCAAGTCAATTGAGTTTTCTTCGAGCAATTATTCTGTGGCATGGAGTTTGTTACTTGATCGATTTGACAACAAACGATTATTAGCGCAAAATCATGTGTCTGCCTTGTATCACATTGATGCGGTTACAAAGGAATCGTCTGTTGCTCTCAAAGGTTTAATCGATCAATTAAATAAGGACTTGCGAGCATTAGAGTCGTTAGGTGAGCCTGTAAAGCACTGGGACACATTTTTGATATACCACGTCACTCAAAAAATTGATCATAGGACCTATCGTGAATGGGAGGAGTTTAAGGGTAGGATTGACAAAGAAAGTTCAATTACGTTTGATATGTTCATGCAATTCCTACGCACTCGAGCCGATTTGATCGAGAACTTAGAACGCCTTCGAACAAATAATAATTCTCAAACGGCAGGTAGATCAAACCCTAGGATCAAGTCGATGTTGGCTAATCAGTCTAATAACAGTTCCAGCATCGAAACAGCTCCCCAAGTATGTCCCAAATGTCACAGTAACGATCACCAATTAAATAATTGTCCACAGTTTCTCGCATTAAGCGTTGATGCTCGTATTAAACTTCTACCTACTTATAAGATTTGTTTTAATTGTTTGCGGTCGGGTCACTTCGCTAACAAATGTAAAAAAGCCGGTTGTAAACTATGTAAACGTAGGCACAACACACTAATTCACGTAGATTCTACAGATAAAATTATTGCGAATACACATAGTGGTAATTCGTCTAACAATAACTTGTCTTCATCATCCGTACCGTCTGCTACCACAGTTGCGAATAACGTTACGTTGTCAGCACACATTGCATCCTCTCAAGGTCATACGCAGCGTGATGTTTTATTATCGACCGCATTGATCAAGCTACGGGATCATACTGGCTGTGTGCATGTCGTTCGGTCGGTTCTAGACAGCGGTAGCACGTCGTCATTTATAACGGAACGGTTATGTAAAAAACTTAATTTATTCACGAGCCAGGTAAATAAATCTATACTTGGCATAAATAATGTTACTTCGCACGTAGGTAAAACATGTCGAGTTAAGATGTCATCATTGGATGATAGTTTTAATTACGACCTTCATTGTTTGGTTTTGCCATTTATCACGAGCGAGGTGCCGAGCCGTGAAATAAATATTAATAATTTCGATCTACCTTCGAATATCACTTTAGCTGATCCTAAGTTTTATAAGCCCGGTGATGTTGATTTATTAATCGGCGCTGATCTGTTTTGGAAGTTATTAGTATCACAAAAATTAGAATTAGGTAACGGAAAGCCAATATTATATAAAACCCATTTAGGATGGATAGTTTCCGGTCCAATTCTTACTAATGATTTAAAATGTAATTTTTGTAAAGATGTTTCCCATGATCATAAATATGTTAGTTCATTTGATTTGCCAGAACAAAGATTATGTGAGAAAGAACCTTCAATTCTGGGAGATTCTTTCAAGAAAGAAACACACTGTTGCCAATCATTAGTCTCGCGGGACTTGCCTGCTTCGGTTGACTTAGGTATTACACCTCACGAGCCCGACAAGTTACTTGGTCTGGGTCGGTATGTCTCTTCCGATGGTTTAGGGTTTCCTAACAATCTGAGCAGGTCCTCGGCTAGGCACACTGAACGCGATTTGTTATCAATGATAGGGAAAGAGTTGCTTTCATTAATTTTAGTCGTTATTATAATTTATTTACAATAATATTTATTAATCATATAGGAAACAATACATTTATTTTTTTGTTTCATGTTAATAAAACCCACCTTATCTCATTACAGTCCACTCATCAGTTTACAAAAGTATTGTTTAATTTCGAGCATATATGATTGATGCACGCTGGCCCACATTGCTATTAGCTCCCATAAGGGAATCATACTGGCCAAGAAGGTCGCAACTTGGCGAAGACTTGTACTCATAAGTGTGTTCCATGTCGCCGCATGAAGGGACGGGTAGTTAGTCCTATACTGGGCAACTTACCACGAGAACGACTTCGTCCAGGTTATCCCTTTGAGAGCACGGGCGTTGATTATGCCGAGCCTATTATTGTGTGCTAGTCGTCGAGGATCGCGGATGCAGGCTAGTGAAGGTGTATGTAACCATTCATTTGGATTTCGTTGGCGATTTAACTAGTGAGGGTAACTTACTAGCGTTGCATCGACTGATTATTGCTTGAGGAGGTACATAAGCCCGTTGATGTTTGTTCCGACAACGGTGCCTCATTTGTCGGTGCGTGCAATGACCTTTCTTATTTGTAAAGGAAAATGGTTTGTCCTTGGGTGAAAGTGCAGCCCTGCGTACATCCCGCACTTCGGTAGCTTCTGGGAGGCGAGTGTAGTCAACAAGGTACATCGTCTAGCGAGTGTTGGGATATTGTGATTAAACTTTTAATAAACTGTACATAGCACTGACTGAAATCGAAGCCATTTCGAGCTCTCATCCACTAACGCCCCTATCTTCAGATCCTGCAGATTGTACACCGCTGACGCGCAACCTTGCTGCAACCTGACCGGCAAGGATGGATTGAAGCTGGACTCCTTAGTGGCGATTAAGGAGGATAATTTCCCTTCGTTGAGGTGGAGACTGAGCCGTGTGGTGGCGGTTCACCCAGGAACAGACAGCATCGCTTGTGTTGCTGACATCCAGACGGCCACTTGCATCGTACGAGGGGCATTCAACTGAGTCGGCCCACTACTTGTGACTTCGGAGTTTGGTTGAAACCGTTGCTTTCAACGCCCGGGGGCATGTTCGCGCGCCTACTGGTTTTTTCAGAGCATCAACTTACGCTCATGAAATGTATAAATTGTGAAGAATTCTGAAAATTACCCCACTTGCTATACTTAACTCTTGAAGTTAGCACCCATTAAAGTTTATTAATTTAAAACCGTGTTCGAGTATATTTTTCCTGAGTCCATCCACATCAACCCTGGTTCCGTACACAGTCTGAAAAATCAATCCTATTTTTCGATTTCGATTTAAGTCGATGTTGACTAGGATTTTTATTTATTTTACTTTGTTGTTCTCTTGTGAAATGCGTTTAATTTCACTTCTAGCTAGGTAACAACTGTACCATAAACCATTTTTGACGTTGAACTGTATATTAGATATTAAGTACCCGTAAAAATCAACCAAATATTCCGTTTAGTGTTTATTTCCAACAATTGTTACCTAACTGAAAGTAAAAGTAAACATATAATATACATGAAGATACCTAGGATTTATTCTATTATAGTAAAAGTTAGAAAAATCGTCAATTTTGTATCCAGTCACATAATATTCGAATCTATTGAATTGGTTCATACAATTATTATGATTTAGAATTCTATTACAACCTCGTTTCTGCTATTGTAATTCTACTAAGATATAATATGAATGTTAAACCTATTTCACAAGATTTTATATTATATAGTATCACTGTGGAACCGCTTTCGGCTTTCGATAGAAAATTTGAATTCTCCTCATGATTTTTATGATAATTTCAAATATTCCAGAGTTCATATTTACACAAAGGTTACAGCTAAACAACGAAACAAAATGATATGAACATTTTAGATTTTGTTACGATTGTATAGAGTTTATTTTTGTTTGGTTTTGTACCTTTACGTTTGAGTAGAGCCGTAGGTACCGGGTGGCGGTCTGTAGTCGGCTGGTAAAGCCATTACTTGTTTCTTGGTAAACGCATACTTTCTGATGCCTATGTTTTTCTGTGTATTCTCTCTGCGGCAACCCTCACTGGAATTATATGAAAATTTTGTTAAAATAGCTATGAAGTTGACAAAATGGTTGATTTTAATAAAGCATTAGCAAACCTCTTTTGTTTTCTTATAAATCTAGAAGAAACACAAGTTTTTTTCAACCTTAAGAACACCTATTACTTAAGGAGAATATCTAGTTTCACATTTTTAAAACCATTTGTATTTCTTATCTAGTTTCACAAAACGATGCGATCAAAAACGGCCCCGGTTTAACTGTGTTGCGACAGCTCACTGAAAAGTTTAAGGAATTTGTTGCCCATTTGTGGTTGGTCGTTAAGATCACATACCCGGATTCAAGGCCCAATTCCTCAAATACCCTAATCCTCTGAACCCCATATCCCCAAAAGACTGGCATAGCACTTGCAACCCCTCAAGTTTTGCGAGCGTCCATGGTCGGCGCCGACACAATCAGGTAATCCGTCTGCTCGTTTGCCGCGATATCTATCTATCTATAAATAAAAACCCTTACCTTCTCATGATACTGAGGGCCTTTTTCATCTCGTGCTCAGCAAGATGATACTCTGAAGCCAGTATGGAACATTGTTCCAGGGTCACCGACATCCCCGTCCTGTCCTTGGCGCTCTTACAAGATGTGAATCTTATACCTGAAATGTTTGGCAAAAATACCTCAAGGATTTGACTTCAATGTTTGTCATACTAAAGTTTAATATAATTAACGCGAAAAGTAATTGTACCTTGGAAGGGCGTTTTGATCTAGTTGCACAGGTCGTGGTCGCAAGCAGATTGAGGGTGTAACGTCACAGAAAAGAAGCCTTCCAAGGTATTAAATAATTACTTTTTGCGTTAATACCTGCGTAATTATATTATATTATGTTCGTCGTACAGAAAGATTCCTAAAGTCAAACGGACCTATGTTTTTCTAAAGAAGACATTTCTTTTTAAATTTTAACTAAAGTTATTGGACAAATGCTACTTTACTCTGCCTTTCCGTATCATCACAAACATTAGCCTTTATTAGCGATGTTAAGATTGCTCTTAAAGGACACTAAAGAAAAACAACTGTGTACCAGATAAATATATGACGTATTTCTAATTCTTACCATTCATAAGTCTAGTCGCTAAAGCAGCCAAGTGTAGAACTTCCACGTTTTTCGGAACCTTCTTATGCACACATATCCGGAGGGTTTCCATTACTTCTTCAAGGGGCTTAGTTCTAGAAGATGCTGGAAACACAAGTTGGATAAATTACTGTACTTGTACAACAAGTATCGTCGTGGTGGAGAAACCTAGCAAGTATCAAAGTTCATCAACATCGTGAGGAAAACTGGAATTTCGAATTATGATTTTGAAATGGCCAATCTCCGTGTGAGAAGAGGCCTTTGCTCAGCAGTGGGAACTTATAGACTGATGATGACGATTTACAACAAGGAATAGTGCATGATCTCCACTCTAGAACACGTTTACCCCAGCGGTCATCGGTTCTTCGACAGATGTGACCTGACCATGTGTTCTAGACTGGAGACCACGTCTAGGCAAACGTAGTGTAGGGCGCCCTCCAGCTAGGTGGACTGACGACATCCGCAGGGTGGCTGGCAGTGGTTGGATGAGAAGAGCTGAACATCAAGCTCAGTGGCGTGCAATTGGGGAGGCTTATGTCCAGCAGTGGACCACAACAGGCTGATGATGATAATTTATAACAAGGAATAGTGCATGAATGAAGTAATCATAAACTGTGCTTGTGTTACGTATATCTATCATGATGGCCGGAGGCGGTTAAGACCTAACTTCTCATAAATCGAAACCTGGCAAATACCAATGTGACTACTTCCGTACTTTCCGTTATGTAAGTACTTTCTTAGATTGCTTAGAAACTACTTGCGAACTGCGAAAGAAATCATTGTATGTCGAAAACTCACCTCTGCTAGCCGCCATATGATCTGTAGGGAATATCTTGCTGTACTTATGGTAGTATTTGTTCAATCTGTCTAAGTTGTCACTATTGGAATGGTATTGCGGCGTCGTTTCTCCTAGTGCTTCTGCTAAAGTCGCCTTCTCATTGACACCGATGTTGAAGAAGACTGCTGTTATTGTGAATGATAGATGCTGGAATGTAAATTAAATAGATTATGTCAGTTTATATGTAAAGAGATGTTTAAAGTGAGAGTGAGTAAAAAATAATCAGTTTGTGAAACTGATTGAAAAAAGAGTAACCATGAAGTTGCTTGCTCGTTGTTCTCCATCGGGATGTACATTTTGGTAAGAGCAAATGGCTACATTAAAAGCACTGACCAACAGACTGTCATTTTTAACTATAAACTTTGTTGACGTTAAAAAGTGCCAGTGATAGTTTAATTGAAATAAATTGTTTGACTTTGACTTCGAAACGCTGTCTTCAGCCTTCAGCATTGCTGTGTGCCAGCGGGAACGAGCGAACGTGAAGGGAGCTACTGGAAACAGCTGAAAGTTATCTGATAACGACGGCAAAGTCTTTTTTTTAAATTGCCCAGCTTTTGGATTTTTCTTCTTGTGTCGTTGGTGCGGTTACAAACTTACAATTTCACATACACATGACACCCAGATCGGGAACAACAATTTGTGGATCACACAAAGATTTTTTGCGGATGCTGTCGTGCGGCAATCGAACACGCGACACGTTGCACGGTAGCCAGTTGCCGAGCCATAGCATCAGCCGTGAAGGGTTTACATTATAATTTTTGAGAATAGCAAGTCTTCGAATAAAGAAATAACGTCACAATCCCGTACAAAATAAAAAGAAAATTTACAGAAAACTGTCGACTATTTATAGAAAAGTGCGTGTTTGTAGTTTAAGTTTGTGTTGTTGTTTTCGAGGAAGGGAAAGTTGTAATGACAGCGTATGGTTTATTGACAAATTTTAAGAAATAAACGTATTTTATCAAATTACTCCTGCCAACCTGCTCTGTGACAGGAGGCTAAGAGGTTAAGATTTAAAGGTTTTGGATTTGAAGATTGCTGATTTCAGGTTTGAATTTTAATGATTAAGGGTGGGTGCAGGGAGAATTGGAACTCCGGTAACCTCTGCATTTTCAAATAATTAGGTAACTTATAGGATATATACCGGGTGTAAAAAGACACTTTAACGAAGCCGAAAGCCACGTATTCTACCCATAATTTGGATCATTTTTTTCTTTAAGACCATAACTGGGACTCCACGTGTTCTCGAGATACTGAAGGTCAAAGATGCGTTTTTAATTTTTTTTTTGCGCAATCCAATTCTTTGTATTATTACAAAACTTATTTCCAAACGAACATTACCTGAATTTTCGATTTTTCTAAATATATTACGCATTTGAAGTTACGAACAGTAATGTACGTAATAAATAAATGCAGACCCACACAAAAAACATCATGTATCTCAGTAGGATTTTTATTTTACAGAATTGTTTTGTTATTGCGAAGTAAAACGTCGACCTACGTACTTATCACAGCGTTTTCATGCTAAGCTGTGAACCTACGCACACAATGATACGAAGCCCGTTTGCTTTACATTGCGCGCAATAAAATTATTATTTTTTTGATACCTAAAAATAAAAGTCGTTTCCCAGTGGTAATTTTAGCGTAAAGCTACTTAGTTAGAACTGCAGTATGCGTAGTTAACGGCTTCGTTAAGTGTCTTTTTACATCCTGTATAAGCATGCTATTGGACGTGGTAAAAACATGATAACACATTAGTTAGGCTCGTACAATAGTAATAGGAAATTACCACTTTTAAAGGTTCGATATACTGAAATATTGGATTATCCAATTGGAACCTGACAATAACAATCATCCAGTTATTCCTCTTTTTATAACATTATTTTGCCATTTTTATGTTCTATGGTGGCAAACGAGCTAATATATCACTTAATGGTGATCAATGGGCACCGCCCATAGACACTTACAATACTAAAGTCAGAATTTTAATTCGATTCCAGATTTGACATTAACCACTGTCATTTTGTGAAATAATGATACCACATAATAAAATTATTAAAAAAAATACGGCTGCCGAATGGTCTAAATGCGTATCCCATGTTGTCAAAGAAGAGGAAAAAATTAGTAAGCTAGATATGTTAATTGACAATAAATATCACAGACGCAATTCATAATAAATGTTACAGAAAGTAACAGCGATAGCGATGACGTCGATAATTTATAAAATAAATTATTACTATAATAGATCACATTTTGTTATTAATTTCACACACAATTATAAAAGAAAAGTATCAGATCGTTAATTTATTGTCAAAACTAAATTATCGGTTCAGAAATATTTAATTTCCTGATAAATTTAATTTGCGAGTGTAAATTTATAAACGAGAGTAATCGATTCGGAAATATTCGATTTTCATATCGAATAATTTCGCGACGTCACTGTTTAGTACATATTTGTCATAACGTTGCAACACTGAATTGTCAAATCAGGAATCTAATTAAAAGTCCGAGTATAGAGGAGTTATTGCGTTGCCGGCTTTTAAGAGGTTGAGTATTTGAGGATTTGGGGGAGGGTGAGAATTGACCTTCAAGCAACCTCAGTCGGATGGCAAAAGATAAACTTTGTTCTTGGGTTTTCTGTGAGGTTTTCACTCAATTTGGAAGCATCCCCATCAATAGTTTTGGCTGATGATGAAGTTGAAATAGAAGAAATTATTTATAAAACTTACCTCTTTGGAATTGAATTTTGTATAAAGAGAATCAGAAATAGGAATGTAGACAGTGAGAGCTCCTCGGGTTCCAGAAACATGTGGCACGGCTGAATTGCTGCAACAGTATGAATATTTTGGTAATATAAAAATATCGGCATACCTTAAGTTAAAAGAATATCCTTGTAATTATTTAACGCGATGATTTGTAAGTATGGATGGACAATGGAGGGATATTTGTTAATATTTCACATAAAAACTATTAAGGCTTAATACATTTTGATGAAAATTTACATAAAGACAGATAATAGGGACAGAAGCTAATAAAGCTATATTTTAATAAAAGTTAATTGAAAACAATAAATGCCTCGATTTAATCTAAATAATTGACAAAAAATGACAAATTAAAAAAAAATATCCAATTTCTGGATAAATTATATTGGCAAAATTTTTGAAGCCTAAATACTGAACCTAAAATATTCTACATTTATTTTTTTAAGCCTAAAATATTATACGCCTAGTTAGATAACGATGACCAACGCTAGAGGAAGATTAATCTTAAATAGTTTTTTGACAACAGTTTAAGATTTGAGTGTAATCAATTAATTCAGGCATTCGCCTTTTATATACAAAATTACGTTATCTATACATTACGTTTTATTAACGTCATAATATCAAAGACGAAATAAAAGAAATATCCTATTTTTGCATAAATTATATTGGCGAAATGTGATAGTAAATGTTAGGGAAAATATTTAGTTTTAATTCCGCGACAAAAATCCAGGCTTGTCGCAGGATGCAATCCCACTCCTATGCAATCATGCATATGCACATGCAGCAAGGGTCCCACCCTCCCGCCCACATGCATATGCACACATACACAAAACGGAAAAACATGCCACGCAATCAAACCTATACTCGACACGTGTTTCGCCCCTCCACAGGGCATCCTCAGGAGATGTTGACTCGACGAGCGCTCGGCTGCGAATGAGCTAGTACGACAGCTCTCGCCTCTTATATAGTGTCGTGATGACACATAATCGATACAAACGTCTTTGTATCGATTACACAATCGATACAATCGACACAAACGTCATTGTGACGCCTGCATCGACTATGATTTACCTGTAATCACACTTAATTTGATTATGATTTACCTGTGATTACAGGTAAATCATAGTCGATGCAGGCGTCACAATGACGTTTGTGTCGATTGTATCGATTGTGTAATCGATACAAAGACGTTTGTATCGATTATGTGTCATCACGACACTATATAAGAGGCGAGAGCTGTCGTACTAGCTCATTCGCAGCCGAGCGCTCGTCGAGTCAACATCTCCTGAGGATGCCCTGTGGAGGGGCGAAACACGTGTCGAGTATAGGTTTGATTGCGTGGCATGTTTTTCCGTTTTGTGTATGTGTGCATATGCATGTGGGCGGGAGGGTGGGACCCTTGCTGCATGTGCATATGCATGATTGCATAGGAGTGGGATTGCATCCTGCGACAAGCCTGGATTTTTGTCGCGGAATTAAAACTAAATATTTTCCCTAACATTTAATGTCATGGATTTCCGCAAAGTGACGCCTGATTCTATAAATTATCTAAAGAAATGTGATAGTACAAAGACTGACCGACCGACCGACTTCAAGTTTTGGACGACAGGCTTGCTTGCAAGGCTATGATGAACTCATCATAGCCTTGTTTTTCCCTTCAGATGTTCATGTAAAATTAAGAATTTCTTACCTATGACCAACTTTAGTTAGGGTAAACACGACGGTCTGAAGATCTTCAACTGCCACCACCATGTCGCCCCACATCGCCTTTTCCGTAGAATACAGACTCAATAGACCTTCGAAACCGCACAGCGGTCCTAGGCCGGAGCTTAGTATCTTAGCGACGATGTCTCCAGGCATTGAACATAACCAGCATAACAGGCCCGCCGTCACCGTTGACAACTGCAACGAGAGTAATTGAAAAAGGTCTTTATTCTAGTCTGTTAAAGTTAAAATTAGGTTGAAAGATAACGGATAAGAATCTTACTTATATTATAAATGCGAAAATTACGATCGCAATCACGCCAATACGGTTGGATGGATCTGGATGAAATTTGGCACAGGCATAGGATACACGTCGGAATAGGACGTAGGCTACTTTTTATCAACATATCACGCGGGTGAAGTCGCGGGCGGAAGCTAGTAGTAACTAAAACCTAAACCCCCTTATTACAAAACAGGTTTTTACTTTAGTCTATGTTTAAACCACTTAGTTCATTTTACCAGTTAAGTGTTTGGTTGGTGTAAGAAGCAATATAACAAACATAAATTTATGAAAAATATGCATGTTTTCTCACATATGTTTAGTGTTTAATAATAAAATGCTTATGAATATGTCACCAAGTCTGCCAGCCTTGGGTGTTTAGAAAGCATACGGTGCAATTCTTTACATCTACAATACGGAAGTTTCCAACTAGTCAAATTCCCAACTTTTATTGAAAATTAAAAAACGATTCTTTTCTATGAATTTTGTTCATACTCGCAACAAATGACGTTCAAATTTAAACTTTCGATGATATCTAAACCAGCCAGATACAAATAAGATAACAGCCAAAGAGATTTTATTACAAGACTATACATACTATAATGTAAAAAGACTTTTCCTCAAACAAACTAAATATATTATGTTATTAAAAGCACCCCATGGTAGAAGACAATGCAGTGACGTAGCATCTAGAACAGTATAAGTTATTACATACCGCTTGAGAGAAACAAGTATCCCTCCTAGTTTGCAAAGCAGCGTGCTCACGAGCCCACAGCGGCGACTCGCATCTAAGCCGGAACGCTGCATGAGCCAAACGCATCCATCTCGCCGCATCATCAGCACTACTCCTCACACCATCCATCAAGCCCTTTATCCTCTCCAAGTCTTCGTCTGACGAAGCTGCAACACATAATATATGATGGATGTAAATAACATGCCATATGTTTATTTAGTCTAATTAGGATTTGCTTTCCCTACTTTACTACTTCTACGGGTTTTAAGTGTAGGGGAGCTATAAGCTTCCCGGGTCGACTAGTATGAAACCACGGCTTCGCAGAATACCGCGGTGAAACACCGCTTGCGTTATGTTTCACCGTGTAAGTGAGGTTACCGAATCCCTATAATGGAGGTCTTCTTATTCCATCCCTAATCTCCAAATCTTTAATCTTCAAATCCCTTACAACCTACAAAAGGCACTAATAATTCCTTTGGTGATGCAGATGTCCACGGTCAAAGCCAACTGCTTACCATGAGATAATCAGTCTGCTCGTTTGCAGAACTATAACACAAAAAATCTAAATAATTTTTCATACTGTTAAAAAAATATTGATAAACTATTATTTATTAGTTTTTCACACATCCAATCACATATCATCACACATCCAATCACACATCCAAAGAATGCGAATACAGTAATCAATCAATCACAATCGTGTTTTCAACAATGATGACACAACAATATTTTTGCTATTCTTTAAAAATTTTGAAATTCTTCTTCCAATGTATATGTACGCTACAATAAAATAAAATAGTCAATAATTACCATTATTTATTACAATTCGATTTAATTCTTCTACAAGACACGTAAGAGAGTCTTCGACTACGATTCCGACGTTTCTTAGGAACGCTAGGTTGTTGTCTCTGGTCGCTTGATCCAGTTGTCCAATAGCGGGTAATGTTGCTGACTCCCGCCTTAACTCTATCGCCTGGAACCAAGAATTCAAATCGTACATTAATATTTGCTTGCCTCTGTTAATAGTTAAGTACTATCGCAACATGCTTATAAGTGTAATGGTCGAACTCTGTTAATATTTAGGTTTTATCGCAACATACGTGGAGCGTTTGAAAATTTTTTAGCTTATATACTGAATCTAAAATTTTCATGCTAAAAAACTATATGCATGGTCAGATAACGATGACTAACTTAACGCTTTTAACTGTTTTTTGTCAGAAGTTTTTAGTCATGAGTATTATTATTTAATTCGGGCATTCGTCCACTAAAATACAGCTTAGGCCTTAGATAATCTATACTTAAAGTTTTATTAGCGCCACAATGAATGATAAAGACAATAAAACAATTAATTTATTTTAGCAATAAGGCCATAAAACGGCTCTTTTACACGACAAAAGCTGTACTGCAATCATCACAAAATATGAACCCTATATTTTTGGCGTTTTGTCCCCAAAATGTAAAACACTATTATTAAGAGTCTGTATGTTGTCTGTATATCTGTCTGTCATCAGACTCTATTTCATGCACCGTGATAGTCAGACAGTTGAAAAGACAGATAATGTATTCATGTTTCCGTTATAACAACAAATAATAAAAACAAATCAGAACAAATGTTTAAGACTCTCCTGTATTAAACACGGTCACGAAGTCACAGACAAACTAAAATACTACTACAATGTCGAACACAATCAACTTAAAACAATATAATTCAAAGACTATCTATATTTAATGAAAATTCTTTTGTAGAAAATACAAGAAAAGAATAACACTCTTATTTTGTTCTTAAGATGTGCTTTAGCCAAAACACAAATTATAGATAATTACCATATCAAAAACTAATATGAATGATATTATTGTAAAAAGTGTCTCTTATCTGTAATATTTTGTATAGTGTAGATGTAGTTATAAGCTAATTATTGACTATGAAAAACATTTTTGTACTTAAACTAGTTATTTTATTGTGTTTTTATAGTATAGAACATGCATTGAGAATAGCCTATTTCTTCATATGTTACTCCATACTAATCTTATTTACTTCTAAACGTTATTTAAAAGCTAGTACACAACACAACATAGTATTAAACAAAGTCGCTTTCACTGTCCCTATTTCCTTATTTATGCCTAAATCTTTAAACCTACGTAACGCAGATTATTTTAGAAGATAGAATGACTAAAGAGGGAGTTTTATATGTGCAATAACCTCTTCTAAATAATGAAGAAATTAAGCCAGTTGTGTAAACCTTTAAGTTGCAAAAAATTAATTGAAACCACGTCTTTTATGTTAACTAAAAAGCAGTCAATTTGGCAACAGTAAAGTAGTAAAATAGCAGTAATGAGTACTATTCAAATAATTAGATCCACTATAGAATTGTATGTTTTATATTTGGCCTATTATAGTTCATATAATTTTAAATCAAATATAATAATATAATATTATATAAAACGACTCTTATAAATAGCACAAAAACTATTGTAGATGGGATATTTAGAATAGGTCGACGTGTTAATAATTTGGACGAATTAAACAGCTCCATTCATCGAGTTCATAATTGGTTTACAGTCAATAATTTAGCACTTAACGAGAAAAAAACAAAATGTATTAAATTTAGCTTGCCCAACGTACACAATAATGATTGTGACATAATTTTAAATGGGCAAAAGTTAGAATTTGTTAACGAGACTATGTTCCTAGGTATTACGCTAGACAATAAACTTCAATGGGGTTCCCACATAAAGACGCTTTCGGGAAGACTGAGCTCAGCTGTTTTTGCAGTTAGACAGATTAGACAGCTCACAGACGTGAACACAGCAAGGCTTGTTTATTTTAGCTATTTTCACAGCATTATGTCGTACGGAATTTTGCTATGGGGTCGAGCTGCGGAAGTAGATTCAATATTTATTTTGCAAAAGCGGGCTATCCGAGCGATATATAACTTGTCCCCTCGTGAATCTCTGAGAGAACTATTTAAAACGATAAATATCCTAACGGTACCTTGTCAGTTTATATATGAAAATATTATGTACGTAAGGAAAAATTTGCAATTATTTGAAAAAAGAAGCGATAGACACAATTTTAATACTAGAGGCAAAGATAGGCTGGCTGTGCCACGATTCCGTCTGTCCAAAGTACAGAAATCCTTTATGGGGTTCTGTGTAAATTGTTACAATAAAATTCCAAGAAGTGTATTAAATCTTAATGAACGAAAATTTAAAACTTATATTAAACGCGAATTATGTAGACAGGCATACTACAAACTTTCAGATTATATTGAGGATAAGAATGCCTGGCAGCATGTTGGTTCGGCTCCACTGGACAATTCTCAAATATGTAGTCAGTAGTTATTAAAATTCTCAAAATTAATGAAACCTTGAATGAGTTTATATAGAAGCATTCTTTTGGATTGTGAGTACGCATATGTGAGCGCCATGTACGAGACAACAAAGGATTAAAATTTTAATGATAGATTAAATAGACCATAATTTGTTCCTTTTTATTAACAACTTGTCTCTGCATTGTTCTTACATAGGGGTACAGTAATGTATAAAAAATGTATTATTGATGAATTGTAAAACAAATATTTTTTTTAAAAGAGTAACGATGGAGTTTCTTGCTCGTTCTTCTCCATTCGAAACTACAATTTGGAACGAGCACCTAGCTTCACTGACGAACAGACTGACAGACTACTATTCTATTTTGACGTTTCAAAAGTACCTATTTATGGTTTATTTGGAATAAATGATTTTGATTTGATTTGATTTGATTTGATATGATATTTAATTTTTTTTCTAAACAAGAACACCCTCACCTATCCTAATGGTATATTGTAAAATTTCACTTTGCTGTGCCACAAATTGATTCTATGTCTAACAAACAAGTTATGTAGTAGTACAGTTTATGCAGACATTATAGCATGCAATAAAGTATGCAATAAAGGATAACATGAATTGCTTTCTAGAACACATATTGAAAAATAAGCCCTAATGCGTTTTCTTTACACAATGGGATCACTGTAATGTCGCAGTAGCGTTTAACTTATTATGTATGTATATGCAGAATATCAACTATGGATGAGTACTTGAGTAGATGAAACTACTAGTATAAGTAACTTATTCAACTATGGATAATCTAAATGCAAAATATTCGCAGTTCGCATAAGAAGCAAACCCTCAAACAGTGAATGCAATGTTAACAATCGCTTTGCAAATAGCTAAGCTAATTAAAATTTAATTAACCTAAGCTAAAATACTATATAGCTGTTGTTCTTCGTAACACCCGCTTTACTTATAGCCTATGTTCAGCGGGGATAGTAGATAGATAGTTTCATCCCAAATTTGATTTATTTTTCAGATCGATTATGTAGTTTCGGAGTCTATTGAATCCTCATCTACGTATAATATTCAGTATATTATACGTAGATGCAGTAAAGGACTAACCACACACCTCTGTCATTATCTTCAACTTGACTCCCGATAGGTATACATAAAACTATCTGGTTCAAGCATCAGGATTCTACAACGCGTAATCTGTTTGTAATAAGGGGATTCAACACATTCATATATTAATTTTAATAATAAGCTATTTTGATGCACAGCTCATATAAATTATATATCATCATCATCATCATCATCATCAGCGTGTTGTCGTCCACTGCTGGACATAGGCCTCCCCAATTGTACGCCAGATATATCTATTCAGATGTAGTAAAACAGAACCTTTAAGTTTTTAACAATTCTTTACTTGGTTACGCTAGCTGAGGATAATTTTTAACATCTCAATTTTCCCTGTGCTTCGGACAGCCAGTAAAGCCCTGGGTTTTTATTATCTTTTAGCCATACGTGACCCTATTAGCACATTGTAATGCCAATAGTGTTTAGAAAGTAAAGTGAACGTTTGTATCAAATACGATGTGTTTGTTCACAGAGCGTTCATAAAATGATATACCAGAAAGCATGTTTTATTTGTAAGAAAAAAACTGACGTTTATAAAGTAGGACATAACATAACTTGCAAAAAAAAAGATATAATTTTTACTATGAGCATCTCCTTCGAGAAATAAAGGCTCTTTAGAAAAATCACATATTAAATTAATAATAAACATCAGCAGTGCAGAATTATATTCGATCGCAATGTATAGTAACAGACTGCAATAGCACTTTTATTGCCAGCATACAAACACACTCTCAACATTCGTCATAAGTTTTATAGAAATCAAATCTGAGCATAAGATATTCGCTTATTACATTACATACGTGTTACAAATCTACAATCGCAAAAAGTTTATACTTGTAATTATTTCTTCAAAAATAGCACACGTCAATACAAATACGTAGTTAAACATTTTTGGCAATACAATAAATAATGTTAGAATAACAAAATCGCTTTCATTGTAATAAACAAACGACGGCATTTATTAAAGCAATGTCGCAATTATAGTTTGATAAAATTAAAATACTAAAATTAGGAATTAATTCAAAAATAAGCTGAGAAAAATAGTTTGCAATGCATACCAATTACCAACATGATCCTTAAATAATCACACTGTCCATAAACAATCGCAATTGGTATAAGTATATAGTGTATGCACCTTTATGTATTATGTGTAAAGATGTTCAGTCTGCTTGTGACCACGACCTGTGCAACCGGGTCGAAACGTCAAGCCTACCAAGGTATTCAAATAATAATTTTCCGCGTTAAATACCCGCGTAAATATATGTTATCAATATGAAACGCAAAGTTTAAAAGTTAATATTGTGTAAAGAAATAATAAAACCCACCTTTCTCTTATCATTCCTGAGGCTGTCGACTAAACTTCTATAAGAAACTTGTTCCAAGGATGCGGAGCTCTTAAAGTCGTGTCTCAGACTGCCATGTCGCTTAGTATAATCAAACGATAAACTTTGCCCATCTATCTTTGGCTTAGACAATCTCACAGATCGAAACGAGTGATTCAAACCCCCTCTGTCCCTTTCTTCTATCTCATTCTTGAAGTAGTCATTATGAAATTGTAGTTCTGTTTCTGGAACCTTCTTTTTCGGATAGTTGGAGATGTTTGGTACGCTTGACGAGAGGGTAGGTGTCTCCCCAGTAGGAGAGGTCTCTTTGGAACTTGAACTCGATGAAGCGTCGAACGTATCGCAGTCTGAGTTCGTGTCGAACATACTCAGTTGTTCTGTTAACCGCATTATTGTTGACATTGTCTGGAAATATTCGAGTTTTGTTATTACTTCCATTTTACATGATTTGATGGGTGACGAAGGGCGTTGACACAATAAAAGACTGGCGACGACTAACTTATGTATTGTCTCTTAGCACACGATATTTCACAGAGAGCGTTCGGACATACTGCACATTGCCTATATATTTAAGTACGTACTAAATACAAACATAGCTTACGTTACAACATGACACATCTTTAGTATACGTTACACCGTTCGGTTTCTAGCAAATTGGGTATTTTTTGCATAAAAAAAAAACAAAATATTTCGACAACATCAAATATTGATGAGGAACGAAGGGACTTCCATTCTCTTTCCTATTTTCCAGTCATCCCCAATCCCTAAACCTAAGAAACCCAAATCACGACTAGGAAACACAATCACCATTCTCGGCGCCAATTGCTTACCACCAGGTAATTCGTTAGCTGATTTGTCGTCGCATATCATTTATTAAAAATAGATTTCCTACCTGTTGTGTTTCGTTGTGTGTATCAGCTTCATCTGGACTATTGTTCTTTGGCCAGCCGATATAAGACAGTGACTCCTCGACCACAGCGGGCTCCCACTGCGCCAGTATACTCTTTGCTTTGCTTTTTATACCTACAATGTACACATAACACATTGAACACGCTTTTTATCAATATACCGCGCGGGCTGAAACCCGTATATCATATTATCGTTGTAACGTAACAAAGAATTACTTATTTTATGAACTGAATAGTTTTAAACTTGTGGATCAATATTAAACCCAGCACAGACTAGTCTGCCATAAATAGTTTGGTCCCTAAATTCATTTGACGTAAACACATTTGCATTTGATTTCAGTAGAAAAGGCAAATTTGCCCAACATAAAATGATCTTTCTTCAATAAAATAAAAAAAACAACACCTTTAGACGTCAACTTCACTAAGAGGACTGACCGACAGACTGACACGATATCTTCAAAATTTTGTTTTGACGTTCAAAAGTGCCTGTAAAGGTCTAATTGGAATAAATGATTTTTGACTTTTTTGACTTTCAACTTTTCATTATTAAAACTCAATAGGTATAGCGACTGCAGCTGATTGACATATCTAAATTTTAATTGAAAAGTTTATCAGGCTCAATAGGCATAATTAACCATTCGTTTTAGTGTATCCAACATTAAAGACTTACTGTCTCTGAAGACAATCCAAATAACCAAGACCTCTACAAAGTAATATTTACTTACCTTCTACAACTGGAGTGATGGCTCCATATTGCTGGGCCTGCATCAACATGAGAATCTTCTCCATATCTTCGGAGATTCCTTCGCGGAGTCTCCTCACTGCCACCAAGTTATCGTACTCAGCCTGTATTTTATTCGTGATGGAATTCATCTCCGCTTTAGTGCTGTTGATATCCTTCACTTGTTGTACTAGCCTAGAATTTATTAAATTATAACAAAGTTTAAAATTGATCCATTAAACTAATTGTTTTAAATAGAGCATCAGCGTCGCGTTGTTTATAACTAATTTTGATAAGTCGGCAAACGAGCAGACGGATTACTTGATGGTAAGCAATCAGCACCGCCCATGGACACGCAACTGGAGTAATGAGTGCGTTGCCGACCTTTTTGTCTTTAGGGATTTGGAGATTTTGGGATTGGGGGGGGGGGGCAAAATTCAAAAAAGCATATCGTTTTTGACAATTTGAATAAAAGTATTGAATTTGACTAGTTAGAAAATACCGTATTTGTTGGGTCACACAAGAGTTGTTCCTTGCGGGAATCTTGCAGCTGATTGGCCAGCTGCAGGGCCAACGATGTAGTGCGAAACTTTAAAACAATCCTATTCTACAAGTTTCCAAGTTTACCTTATTAATCCTCCGGTGCGCTCAGATTTATGCGTGTGTGTGGCGAACGCTCCAACGGTGACTATATCGTGGAAGCCAGTCTTGTTCAGTGTATCGTTGTGTACCCACATACGTTGTAAGTGCAGGTTGATTGGGGCGAATTCCAAGCTCGCATCATCTTTAACAATAAACGTTTTTGTGTCATTACAAAACTAAACGTGAATAGAAATAGGCAAAGTTGAAGTGATATGTTCTTCTCTATGACATTTTCCCGGACATTATGCAAGGGTTTTTAATACTTTTTGCATTTGATGCACTGTGGCGGGCTTAATGCGCGAAAGCATTTTATACCAGTCTACCTCAAGGAGATACAGAGTCATATTATCAATACATACCCAAAAAATAAAATAAATATTCATATGTATTTACACAATGACACATATGACATTTATGCGCAAATATAATAATTTTGGTGCAAACATTATTATTTTGTAATTGTTTTTTTTTTCTTATAATGGGGAAAAGCAATCTTATGTTCCTCCCTGGGTGAGGCGAGGAGGAGAAACAGATTCTTACTGCCTATAAACCGTCCCTTTTCTTCTTCTACTATGGGCCGGGACCGCGTTACAATATTGCGTTTACACCCACACACACAGTTTCCGCGTGGAGAATGTAGTTTTTGTGGCAACATTTTAGTTCTTTTTCTTTCGTTCCTATTACATTACATCATCATTTCGTTCTTCTAGCACAATCCATACACAATCTATTCCATTTTCTAACTGTTTACCTCAAAAAAAATATGAAATTTAAACATCAAAACTTTTCTCGAGTAATGTTAAATTTCTTACCCTTTCTACTGCTCGCTTTAAAGTGCTGGTTCTCCATACTAAGCATACATCGTCGTGAATGACAGTAATGTTTCAGTAATGACACGTGCGTGCTGACGAGGTCTAGTTGCCTCGTCTGCCATTGACCGCAAATCTCCCCAACTGAGAGAAGTTCATCTAAGAGTTCCTTTTCTCTCTGAATGTAGATATCTCTGAAACATTCGATACAAAACTTTTCAAGATTTATCCTTCAAAAAAAATCTTGTCTGTATTTGCATAACAGTGTTGGTAAGATATGCAACTAAATTGAATATACGTGTATACCGGGCATAACAATATCAATAGAAATGTTTCACGAATATAAGTCCTAGTGTGACTTGAAATTATCAGAGATTTTCTCGAACACTACACATAAGTCAGTCATAGACATATTCCAATGTATTTCTTATGTTGCTTTGACTGATATACTGAATCAACTTACTGTATAAGCAATATTATATTTTATCAACTAATAAAATTACCCTTTCAATAGTGGTAATTCAAGACACAATAGTTGCGCTAACGCCCGGCGTTCGCTTGGAGTTTGAAGAATTAAAATAAAAAGCACCCGCTTCATACTTACAGCAGCTGTATAGGCATTGTAAAACACAATTTCGGTTCCGCCATGATCTCGTGTACCGTTATATCGCCGCCGAGGCCCGAATGAAACCTATAAGTGACTTGATGGCTATTGACAAAGTTTTGTTTCAAGAGACTGCCATATGAAGGGAACTTTAGCTTTAATCCGAGTCTTGGTGGTAGTGACTGTGAACGTCTATGGCACAGTACTTTGTGAGGTATGTCTATACAGTTTCTGTCGTTCGTGTGACTCGGGCTCGTGCCTATGTAGGAAGGTTCTAGACTCCACCCATTTATGGTTACGAAGCCAACTGTCTTTTGATCACGAGTGATGAGCGCCACCCGTAACCTCTGCGCTTCCTGTAAAATGGAAAGATACGCGTTTGTCTTATAGGAGTAAACAATAAACAAGTTGGTCAACTATAAATACTAGTTTGTACTTTTTTAGATTTCATGAAGGTTTAGAATACTCTGCTCTAGTGATTTTAGGGCAATATTCATCGTAATAATATTATAAATGCGAAAGTTACGATGTTTGGATGTTTGTTACTCAATCACGCAAAAACGGGTGGATGAAATTTGACACAGGCATAGGATACACTCCGAAATAGGACATAGGCTTATCAATATACCACGCGGGCGAAGGGACCGGCGGAAGCTACCAATAATAACATTTAAAGAACAGAGGCTAAAGTTTTCTATAATTGGAAATCCTCTTTTTCCTTTTCCTCTTCAATTTTTTATGATGGAAGCTTCTCTCAACCAGGCGAGATGATAAAGTCTAATAGGCTATTGCCCAACAGTTATATGTTGGAATTTCTATTAATCTGCGCGCGAACTTTATTTGTTACGCGCGAACAATTTTTGCCAATAATTTTATAACGCTGCATTCCAAGCAATCATCCTATTCAAAAAAAGGGACAAATTAGATTAAATTTACCTGTATGGTGCTAAGCAGCATTGACGTGTACCCCATAGGTACTATAGTCTCGGAGACCCGCTCCTTCACGTCGTAAACCACTATACGCACCAACGCAGACCCCGTCAGCCCGTCACTCGCTCGAAACAGTATGGTCTTTGAGAAGCACGGATTGCTGCAAGTCTGCGGAACGTGAGAAAAGTAATTGAAAAAAGAGTTAACAATTTCGCTTGAAAATTAAAAAACAATGAGTAAATAATCTTATTTTACTAAAGGCCAAAACAAAATAACGGGCTATAAAATTAAATAGCTTTGTTATTAGACATCCATATTGTTAAAATTTTATGAAGAAACTGTACAGAGCTTTACAATGACACTTTTAAATAGTACTTTACACAAATTCTTTCAACACGATTTTCCGGTCAAAATCATTACTAGGAAAATATATGTAATATAGTAGTTAGGTCTTTTTTTTATTTTCGGCCGAGTATAATAATCAAGCGATTTCTACTACTCTGGGTGGGGCGTGAGGGAGTGTCAGACTCTTACTGACCGTTTCGTCTCAAGCACGGATCAGCCGTCTTACACAACCACGTTTTCACCCATAACCCAGACTCAACATTTATTCGGTACGACCACAAAATTATACAGCTAATGATTTTAATTATAAATCTGGTAGACTAACCTCAACGATCTCAGTAGCTCCATATTTAATGCAGAGTCCTTTATCGTTCTTGACGTAGATGACAACGAGAGGCGAGGGCGGTCGGCCGTGCGTGTCACATAGGAGATTGTCACAAGACAGTGCCAACTCACAGAGCGGCACTTCGTTCATATCTGTTGAAAAAAAAATTTCTAGATGATGCAAACAAATATTTTGCATGCAGCAGGGCTGGCGCGAGACAACTTATCCCCATACAATAGGGTAGTTTTCATTAATTCGATTATAGTTCCAAATTCCAATTATTGAAATAATAAAAAAAACGCGTGCGTTCGTGCAGCGGAATGTTGTTGAATTTAAAGATTTTAATTATGCAGATATTTAGTGTATGACGTCGTATAATTGTGTATGGTAAAAAAAAATTTGTGCATGCAACCATTGTGGAGAAATTCACCAAAAACTGATTCCGCTGGGCGAACGTTGTCCTGGCGGAACTTTTTTTAATCCATAGACTTTAGAAGAAAAGAGATGTATCCAAAAATTAGTGTGTATTTGTGTGTAATTGTGTATGTATGAATAAAACTAGTGCATGCATAAACTTCGGAGATATTCAAGTTTCCGCTACGCGAACGTTTGGCCATTAGCTAGTTTTCATATAAAGCGCTTACATAGAGAGCTGTAGATTTTTACATACGTTGTTTTGAATTTGTTTATATTTGTTTAAAAAACAGATTTAGAAAAAATCGTAGGGTTTAAAAGATAAAAATATAAACGTAAAATACGCTTATTAGGTCTTAGTTCTTAAAGTATGCACTTTGGGGTCTAGATTTTCACGTTTATACAAACCTTGTAAGTGTCTGCAACATGTTGCCAAGTATCAATGATGTTCCGTTAGTAATTAAATAGTTATAGGACAAATTACCATGAATAGATCACTGTTTACAAAGCAGTCAAATATCACGACTTTCTAAATGAATTGCATGGTAAAATGTATGCCAATAATTAGTGTATTCATTCAACTATTCACATGCAAAATTTCATGTCATTAAATTCAGTAATTAAAGAAAAACAATTATAATACTGACGAAGCATCGAAAACCAACATAACCCGACCAAGTTCGGATGGCTACAAAAAAGCGGCCGTGCCATATATCTAAGAAACGTTCTTAACTTTCCAATATAGCATTTATTAATATGGTACAGTATCGTACACAAGCGTTAGGAAAAAATAAAACACAGTATCGTACACACGCTCGTGCATGCCTAGTCTATTGGTTAAATAGTGTAATAAAAAATATTGGTTAAATAGTGTTATAAGCTACAATATAATAAATATTTACCGAAACAGTAGTAGGTACATACATACATGTGGTAAATATTTAATTTTCCTAAGGGGTCTATAGTTAGAATCCTGATCCGTGAAATCTTCAATAGAAATTAGCTGTATGAATTTTATTTGTCTTAAATATAATTAGATTATATCTCAAGTCTCAAGCGCATACTTAAATAAAATACCTACGTAAAAAGTACCTACTTTCTGTCATAGTCAAATACATTTAAAAAAGTAGGTGTCCAAAAATAAATGACCTATAAATTATTTCGAAACAACAAGTGTGTTATCACCTGTACCAATTCAATACCGGTATTATACTGTAAATTTTGGGATGTTACTTTAATATATTGCACGGCAGCTTTTTTGTAGCCATCCGAACTTGGTCGGGTTATGTAGGTTTTCGATGCTTCGTCAGTATTATAATTGTTTTTCTTTAATTACTGAATTTAATGACATGAAATTTTGCATGTGAATAGTTGAATGAATACACTAATTATTGGCATACATTTACCATGCAATTCATTTAGAAAGTCGTGATATTTGACTGCTTTGTAAACAGTGATCTATTCATGGCAAATTTGTCCTATAACTATTTAATTACTAACGGAACATCATTGATACTTGGCAACATGTTGCAGACACTTACAAGGTTTGTATAAACGTGAAAATCTAGACCCCAAAGTGCATACTTTAAGAACTAAGACCTAATAAGCGTATTTTACGTTTATATTTTTATCTTTTAAACCCTACGATTTTTTCTAAATCTGTTTTTTAAACAAATATAAACAAATTCAAAACAACGTATGTAAAAATCTACAGCTCTCTATGTAAGCGCTTTATATGAAAACTAGCTAATGGCCAAACGTTCGCGTAGCGGAAACTTGAATATCTCCGAAGTTTATGCATGCACTAGTTTTATTCATACATACACAATTACACACAAATACACACTAATTTTTGGATACATCTCTTTTCTTCTATCTAGTAGTCTATGGATTAAAAAAAGTTCCGCCAGGACAACGTTCGCCCAGCGGAATCAGTTTTTGGTGAATTTCTCCACAATGGTTGCGTGCACAAATTTGTTTTTACCATACACATTTATACGACGTCATACACTAAATATCTGCATAATTAAAATCTTTAAATTCAACAACATTCCGCTGCACGAACGCAAAAAAACGAATACTTAGTATATCGTGAAATTACTTAATTTAAGTATGATTGTTTTTGAACACATTTATGGTTTTATAAGTTTAAATCATTTTTTTTTTTGGCTGAGAAAGCTACCCAATTTTATTGAAAAAAAAATGACTGTCGATTTAAATTTCCATTTTTTACAACATCTCCTGTAGATGTGACGCCCTGTGGAGGGGCGAAACACATGTCGAGTATAGGTTTGATTGCGTGGCATGTTTTTCCGTTTTTTGTATGTGTGCATATGCATGTTTACCCTTGCTGCATGTGCATATACATGATTGGATAGGAGTGGATGCAACAAGCCTGAATTTTTGTCGCGGAATTAAAACTAAATATTTTTCCTAACATTTAATGCTATGGATTTCCACAAAATAACGCCTGATTCTATAAATTCCATTTTTTATTTGTACAATTTTATAGCAAACATTTACTGCTGCTTACCTCTACACACAAATACCGTATACATTATTATAAATGAGCGATGCGATCATACTCTAATGAGCTTCTGCAATTAAAGAGGCGTCGCATAATATATTTTAATGAAATAGCTCGACAGTATCATATTTCTCCCGCCAGACTAGTAACTAGTTAGTTACTATAGTAGTAATTGTAATTTATTTGTTTTGCATTCAATGAAGTTCATGTTTAATTCATCACGCTTCATATATCAAAGGCTAATCAAATCCTATAAAGATGTCTAGATCATATACGGCTAAGTTACTAAGATCCTTGATATCGGCTTTCAAAACTGACTCGTGATTTGCCTCCTCGTGATGAAAATTGGCACCTCGATCTAGAATGGCATAGATGCTACTTTTTATCCGGGTAAGGCTGACGAAGCCGCTGGCAGAAATCGAAATCGTAACAAAAATTAAGTAAACTGTTAGTGGCTTCTTAAGTTAATTTAAAAACTGTATATCTCCTTGTCTTAGGAAATGTAGGATTATTGTTTTGGATACATTTTTATGATAGCGCATATCATAACATAACACTACTTTTTCGAAGAATATTCCATCTAATAATATTATAAACGCTGAAGTTCATAACTATGGATGGATATTTGTATTTTGTCACGTAAAAACTACGAAATAGTTTTCCAAACTATAATCCAATTTCCAATCTATCAATTTTGATGAAAATTGGCACCGAGATCTATTATAGCCCAGACCTTACTTTTCATCTGGGTACGTAAGGCGGACGAAGACAGACAATTTATGATATCTATTAGCTACTTTCGCAGGGTTTCACTCGCTGCTTGGCTCCTACAGATCTTTGCATGATATTTTATAGCCTAACCTTTCTCAATAAGTGGACTAATAAACACAAAAAGGGTTATTAAATTCGAACCAGTAGTTCCGGAGGTTAGCGTATTCAAACAAAATCTTGAGATTTATAATATTAGTATAGATATATCTTACCAGTCACAATTCCTTTCTGCAGTCTATAAGTAGCTATATCTAAATTGGGTCTGATTTTGTTCAGTCTTTCCCTCAGCGCGTCCGCTTGCGCTTGAATATTATCGTAGGGCGCCAATTCTATCGCCTTTAGCCACAACGTCCTCTCTGATTCGTGAAACGTCGCCATTTTGTAACACACACCGTTGTCCCAAGCTGAAATAAAATACAAAAGAAAATAGTAAATAATCTGCAATGTAGAAAATCTAGGTAAGGGTGAGTAATGTAGAATGTTGTATTCACAGTGTTATGACGGAAGAAGAATATATTTTTACCATTCGTTTATTTTCTGTGAGTGTCGTAGAAATAGTCTAAGGCACTCCATTGATTACCTACACATTTCCAATCAGGGTTGCGGATTAAAACCCTATTATATACTGCAACGGTCATTAAGAGTCTGACTTTCCTTCTTGGAAACAGAGAGAAGAAATATGATAATTTTCACCCCCAAAAAATAAATGAAGACACATTTAACAGAAACCTAGCAACAGCGCTTTCTGAAAAACTAATTATTTTAAACCCTTTTGCGCCTTTATTTGTAGCCCAGCGTTTGGTTTTCACGAGCCGTTGATATTGAAGGAGCACTCTTAAACGTGTACAGGTATCTATGTACAGACGTGATGGAAGCTAAAGGAGAAGATACAAACATAGTCGTGGGCGGCGCTCCGTAGTGTCTTTCTGCGAAATTTGCTTGTATGTATGCAAAAGTCATGTCAAGCAATCAACACAAATTTGTTTACGTCTAGATCTCTTCATGAATTTTTCATGTTGTTTTTCGAAATATATGCTGAAGGTGATATTTTAGGACTATTTATGAGCAACTGTTTGTACGAATATCAATGTTGAAATTAGATTATTCGGGAAACAATATTTCCGCTATGTATTTTGAATGGATGGACTATAAGTAGTCGTGCTAGATATCTAGTTAAATACAAGAAATATGTTTATGGAAGAGGGTCTACGAGTATAAAAATCGCTACATTTTCTTAAATTAATTATTCTTTGGTTGAATGGACATCTAAACATTAGCTTTGTGTTAATTTAGAGAGTTTTTTTTTTGTGACGGGAAATTCATCAAATGATTTCACCCGCCCAAGGTTGGGCGGGAGGGAGTGTCAGACTCTTACTGACTAAAAACCCCCCTGTTCCTTCTCCTGCTCTGGGCCAATTTAGAGACTGGTAAAGTAAGGATTTACATAGAATACACCAAACACAAACTGCTAACATGCGTTATCAGATATCACCCATACGTTAGGTAGGTAATTTATATAACAAAGAATTATAGATGTTATAAAACACTTACTGATCTGAAAGGGCCAATGTCCATTTTCATCCTGGGACTGTACCTTGATGTGATGATGTCCTAGTACTATGACTCCCATGGGCTCGTACCATGGTTCTGGTCCTTTCAAATAGAACAGCAGGTTACCTCGGAGACGGAACCACCGGACCGAGCAACCTGAAAACCAATAGACCAGCGAATTAGTACTTGCTGAGCAATATTGCCTATAAAGATTTACTAATGTAAACCGTGTTTACAACCTTAAGGTTTTATAAGACAATATTTAACTAAGTATAGAATTAATCCAGATATTCAACCAGTATATTATGTCAATGATGGCATGTTCTACTTAGATGTGATCTTCCCATGCAGATCACATCTAAGTAGAATTCGAAAAAGCTAGTGCCATCACTAGCTTTTTAGAAAAACTCAGAATCGCTCAGCATTCAATGTTGTGTTCTGTTCGGGGTTTCTTTGCGTGAAAAATCTATCAAAATCTGGAAATTCGAAAAAGATACTGACATGGCTAGTTAAAAGTGCAAGCTTAAATAGCAAAGGACAGGTTACATCACTCGAAAGACTGACCTTGCCAGGACAATGCCCAAGAGCAGACCATGGAATACGCAGTGAGTAAAGTGAAGAGTGGTAAGGCTGTCGGTTTAACGTGGAGGACTTAGAGGAAATATTTGCCAATCGTTCAACGTCGAGGACTTTTTTTGAGGGTGGGAAAACTTCAAGCGGCTTCTCTCGTCCAGTTGTCCTGGGTGGACCGAGAGGGAGGGAGTGTCAGACTCAAAATGACTTAAAACCAGCCCTTCTCCCGCTCAAGACCGAGGCTGCGGTACATGATTGTTGGGCGATATGTATTGAAAACATGAAGGGCTAAACGAAAGATCAGGTATTTGATGATGATGATGAGATTCAACATACTCTATCTTTACCATTCAATGGTTGCTTAACCCAGACGTTGCAATTTGTTTGCGGAAAATCGTTACTATAAACATGGTCTTTAATAACTTAACCTTGAGAAAGGTTAGACTACTTACACGTTTAATCTACAAGTTCTATTATCGATAAGTTACAAATCGAATCCATAAAAGTATGATTATATTGGCTATGAGTCACCATGTTGAGGGCAAGTGCACAACAATAGACACTTCTTAAGATAACCTTATGGCGTACAGCCATATTGATGATGACTAAATGGAAACTACATGGTTTTATAACTTATGAGCAGCCAGTTCTAGTGTTCGCGTGATTATTATTAGATTTTCTTCGACTTTTCATTTAATTTAAACTTAGTTTTCTTGGAGTCGAACTATGTAACTACGCACAAACATTAATTAACACGGAAAAACAAAATAGCTTCATCGATTCGTTTGTTATTGTTATAGCAACAATAATTATCGATTCTCTTTTATTATTTATACAGTAACTCTTTCTTTAGTTAACATTTAAATAATATTCGATTTCCCTTGATTTTAGTGCATCACGCCTGAACGGTAGGACTTTTTTAACCTTCAAATCGTAGCCATTTCGAGACACAATACAAGGAAAAGAGGTGGGCTAGGTTGGGCTTTGATGAATTATTGTTATTGCATTTATCAAGAGAAGATTCTTATAAAATACAATTATATAAAAGTAGAAGGAAATGTTAGGGAACAGCCTTTCCGATCTCCTAATTGGTTTGCTAACAAACTGAGAGTTGGACACTTGTGCGAATCAGGGACACATCACTTGTTTTATGAACAATAATACAGTTAGGGCGCTACTGACCGAGAAGCGTGTCGCGGTCGGCGGCGCTGAGGGTGGCGTAGTACTGCATGGCGGAGAGCACGCCCGACGAATTGAATAGGCAAAAACATTAAATTTACTAAACAAAAAATTTCGGCTTAGTTCGCCTCAGAAAATTCATGAAAAGGTACAGATCATCTACCTAGTTACGCTTAAACTTATGTCTTTAGGTGCGCTTTACAATAATTATGAGAGAGATAAATAACGAAACTTGCCGGATTCCCTCGATAGCTAGTTGACGATGTGACATTTATCTATCAAAAAGTCATCTATTGTTCGAACAATGACGACATTAAAGTGTGACTTAGAACACTGATGACAAACATGCAATGGTCGACAACCATTTCTGTACACGAACTTTGTTTATCAAAATGGAGTTTCCTACTTTCTTTCTGTCAAAGAAATCTCTTCTTGATTTCTGTCTGTATTAACGCGATAAACTTAAAAAGTACTGGACAGATTTTGTACAGACATTACTCCATAGGAAGCTAATGTCAACATTGCCCGTAACTCTGTTAAAAGATAATTATGCATGTATGTTACATATAAATAACATAATATTTAGTTTTCCTATAAGCTTAGGTCGTCACAGTGTGTTATAATAATATCGATTTGCAATAGGTACCTACGCAATAACTAATTAGCTTTTTGCTGCTGGATATTATGATCGATTAAATATGAGAATGCTTATCTTCCACATAATACTATCACCACAAAAGTTGTTCGACTGTGACATCAAGAAGTTAATTTGACTTCGTTTGTCAATTTTTCATCAAAACCCAAGCGAACGCCGCCTTTCGCGCATCTATGGTCTTACTATTGTCTTATATTACCACGACGGAAAGGCTAAATATCATTTATTAATTTCTAATTGCGCAGTTGGCGCCTTGTTGACTGGGCAACTTGCTTGCTTGCATTGCTTTGTATAGGTCAGTGCAAATTTATCAAGACTCGGGTATAAAATATGCACTCTATTCTTAGCACGACCTGGTTAGAAACAAAGGAACTGAGGTCGCCGTTTTACAGTATCTACTAAGATATTCATTCAGGTCAGGCTTTAAGCGGAGCCTCCGAGATTTATCTCTATCGATGCGCCCTCATCCGGGCGTGTCTCAGTAAATTGTTTGAAAGATTTAAACCATGTTTATCTAAGAAGTTAAACCTAAAGTTTAAACGTTTGGGATAAGAGTATTCCATTTTAGTAGCTACCTGCCTACGTATAACTTCGTGTAAGCTCCACGTTATAACTACTACTACTTACTTCGATTTCTTTTTAACGACTTCGATACACGATTTCTAAAAAGTATTTTAATTATTAATTTAAGTATTATATTATATCTTTTTAACGACTTCGATACTGATATTAGCTGTAAATTAAGATAAAGTATTATACTATCCTAGAAAGACTAGAGAGCATGTTTGACAATATTTTTTGATCAAACGATTAAAATATTCTGTACGAAATAACGCGTGTTGTGGATATGTCGTTGTTATTTATAGGGTTGGCGCCTCAGGCGGTTTCATCTTCCACCCTCATAGAAATGTGATATTATTTTCGCATCATTTATAACAACTAGCGCTCAAGGCGAATACCTCGCCTCCTACGCGGCCATTCCTAAAGACAATTATATTAAACTACCACACCTTTTACACTTTCGCATCGACGTTTATTTTTCCTCCAACGCAGGTGATACAATTAGACCGCTAAGAAACCAAACACGTATTTATACAAGTATGACGTCAATAATGTTAAGTATCTATTCACGTTTCTTTTCTAAACAAACCACTCTATTATGTACATACTTATGTATGTATAAATATGCAAGTACCTAGAGTTACGTAAGTAGGTATACATATAAATCGAATTTAATACGTTATTTAAATTTTATGTATGTATGTATACATAATATATAGGTACTTGATTCATTCAGCTTAGATCTCATTGAAGTACAAATTTATGAGACATCGATAAAAAAACACGATGGTCTCATTCTGGTTGCTTATATTTATTCTGATTAGTTTTTTCTTGGTCTACATAATGTCTTTATATGATAATCAAAATTAAACATCAACCAATTGTAAACATATTTTGCTAAAGCCAAGACCTTGTTTTTGAATTTAAATAAAGCTTTATAGTTCTATGAAGAAGATCTGAAATCTCTATAAACAAAGAATAAGTGATAACTATAGATATAAGATTTTTTTTAAATAGCTAGCTAATAGATATGTTGAAAATAGTGACTTTCGTTGCAACTTGAAACTAGTAAATCTTTTCTCAGTTAAATCAAATAAGTCACTATTATAAAAAAAAAGATTTCAATTTCATGATAAAACTAATGAGTGACCAAGAAACATTTTTATTGCAAGTTCACAATGGCGTACTTTCGAAGCCGATCACCCTCAACAGATCTCCTCTCGAGGTTGTTCAGGAATACGTCTACCTTGGACAAACAATACAGGTCGGTAGAAACAACTTTGGGAGGGAGGCTCGTAGAAGGATACAGCTTGGCTGGCCAGCACATAGAAAACTCGGTCGGGTATTCTCGTCAAAGATACCGCAAAGCCAGAAGACAAAAGTCTTCTAGGAATGCGTCCTACCTGTGATGACATTAGGAGCCGAGATGTGGACAGTTGGACACTTACAGTAAGACCTGATCCACCAATTTAAAGTCGCACAGCGAGCTATGGAAGGGGCTATGCTTGAAGTCTATCTGAAGGATCGTATTCGAAACGAGGTGATCCAGCAGAGAATCAAAGTCAAAATCCTTTAGCATGATTAGCAAACTTAAGTGGCAGGTGGCAGGTCACATTTGTCGAAGAACCAATGACTGTTGGAAAAGACGTGTTTTAGAGTGGAGACCACGTTTAGGCAAACAGTGTATGGCGCCCTCCAGCTAGGTGGACTGACGGTATCCGCAGGGTTGGAGTGGGTGGCAGTGGTTAGATGAGGAGAACCAAACATTGAGGGAGGCCTATGTCCAGCAGTGGACAAAATCAGGCTGATGATGATGAAGGCATGAAGGTGTGATAGAAGCTTTTTAGGTGGCAATGACCAAAAATAATATTGGTGTCATAAACAATTTAATCTGTTACAAATTTAAAATAATATATGTAACATCCGTTACATTAAAGTCTTACTGACCTTGATTATAATCATAAATTATGTCATGCCATGCCACACATTGCATTCAACACATAGATAATATATATTAGAATTAGAATCTTAAAAAACACTCCTATATATTATTTAGGCTAAAACATTTGACAAGGGTGAAGTATGTGAATTTTTATGTCTGTAAATGCACCTACAACACAAGTGAAGACTCTAGTCTGTGGCAATGTTAAAAATAAAAACATTATCACACAAAAACAACCGAACTGAACTAAATGTTTTCTACAAAGATAGATTGAAATCTAGACACACAGGTTCCTTTTATTCCAGGAAGACTGTCCACTACCAGAAGTTACCTTTATCTACATATCACTCAGATTATATCTGCCCTAAACTGATATGAATAGTGACACATTGTTATCACATTAACCCACTTTGTTTAAGAGTAAAATAAACAAAGCACTTTACACATCTGTGGACTTTAAAACATGTATGCAACAAAAAAAACAACAGATGTTCACATTATGGCATGAATCTTACAAATAGCGGTAGCGTTAGGTTACAAGTAGCGGGCTACACATCAAGAGATTACTTATGGAACAATGTGTGGCTGTTTAAGTAGTAAATAAATAAATTAATGAATCCTTAGCTATATATGATGCCTGATGTCATAAAAATGTATAGTTAATTTAGTAAAAAGTAAAAATTATTACAAAGGATAATGAAATATGTAAAATACTACATAGTAAAATTTCAGTTCAGCTTGAGTAAACTAAGAAAAGTAAGTCGGTTGTTTTAAAATGTTCAGATAAATTTCAGTTAGCTTGAGTGGCACATATATTTTTGGGAATTTTGTATTTCAACAACCCATATGTCATATTCAGACATTGTGTTATAATGGGAATATGTTTGCTATCTCAAGTTGTTTTACAGATAAGAGTAGACAGAAAATGCAAAGGGACAAAAAGAAAGACATTAAATTTCATTGGTACATGAACATAAGAACTGCTAAGGGCTTTTTATAAATGAAATATTTTTCAACAAAATGTAGTACAATATTTGTTCGTTAATATCAACGTGTAGTGCGGAAAATTACGCGTTGAGTATAGTTTATAGAATTATATTACACAATGACACCTAGCACAAAAACAATGTTAGAGATAAGGACAACAATGATTACATTTGCAATTTAAACAACTTTTCTCTCTGCATATATATCCTGAGGTATATTTTTGTAGTTACTAGATACTCTTAACAAAGCATTTACTATTTTAACGTGTGATTACGAACTCACCCTCTGATCTTCTGAAAAATCCATCCTGTCTCTCTTTAAGTACTAATACACCTTCCCGATCGAAATTCTGTGACGTCTGAGATGCTAATGCAGCCAATTCTTGTTTATTATATCTCATATTTATGTTATTAGTACAAAAATATCATTTCAAATTTGAAAACCACTACAGTGCAAGGTGGCAAGGTGAATACTGAAGGATATAAATTTATTAAAGCCAAAGTAAGCGCCCTAGAGGCTCACTGATGTTATCAATGTTTTCTAATGACAATTTTACAGCATTCTGCCACGATATTATTCATAATTTTAATAAATTCTAGTCACTGAAATTTTGTCCCTAATTTGACTTTTAGGTTTAGGTGGTCCAAGATACAGACAATACAGATAACACAAAACTAGACATATGTTTTTTTTACTAAGACATTGACATTTGACATTTAGGTACTTGCGTTTTGTTTCACACCACATTTCCACAAAGTGAAACGATTCTAATGATTTTTTACGTTCTAGTGCGTGCGTCATATTTAGTCCAGTAAAGTACCTAGGTAGGTACTCGGCATTATTTTATTATCACGTGGAAAAACGTATGTAATTTTCGGTATTTTTTCTCATGATTATAGTGATTTACTGAGAGTAAGTAAGTAGTAAGTACTCAGTATTCGTTGTACTTATAAAAACAAAGTGTTTCCCGAAGTGATGATACGTACTTGAAGTTTTTTCAATATCTATATAAGAAATTGTACCAGCTGAGTTTCAAATAATACAACGTATTATGAGGAGAGGGTACTTTCAGAGTCGTTGAAAGACTACTCGAGTAAGAAGTGAATCTCCCACGTAATGGTGGCCCGCGAGCACACACAATTATCGAACGAATTTATTAAAGGAGCTCTTTCCCTCTTTTTGTATCCTTTTTTCCCGATCTTTCCTTTTTTGTGAAGAAGTTATTCTTTATAAAATAAAAATATCATTGTAGTCAACGACTTACTTACATACTTTAAATTAGAAAATGAAATACATATAAATATAGACTTTTAACCCCGTGATTCTGTATAGAAAGTAAAGATGACTTTATTTTCTTAAAATGAAGCTGGACGGCAACAAACTAAACCTGATCTCGTTCCAGACCTCGGTTACCTAATGGTGTCGATCAGCCTTTGAAACTGAGACCTGGCCATGCCCTAGTTCTGATTGGTGTGAGCCTATTTGTGAATGCACCAGTCAGGCGTCCAGTTGCTCTATCGATATCGCTAGTCAGTTTCGCGTCACAACCACACCATTGGAAATATGCCTAGTGACCTCTGGTAAAATAGGGTTCAAATGAAATAGACTAAATAAATAATATCATTTGTGTTACTATATCAATATTATGTTCTTTAAAAGCAAAAACAAACAAGAACAAGGTATATTTATTATCATCAAAAAATCACACAAAAAGATTCATCTTCTTGTTTAAATTCAGGTATGGCAAGCTTTACAAGTAAGCAGTTGTCATGAATGGGCTCTTTATGAGTCACGTGACACATTTATAATCATAGACAAGTCGCCTTTTTTACCTCTCCACGCCCGGCGGCAGCTTGTGCCCTTACTGATATTTATTTTGTAATTTAAAGTTAATTACTGAAAAATGGACACAAGAAAGCTGACAGAAATTTTGCGTGGAACAATCGATCCTGTTCAGAGACAGGCGGCAGAAGAACAGCTTTCTCAGGTGAGTTTTACCATACACCCATCTATTCACCACATGCTCATGAAATTTATAGCGCGACCATATTGCATATCTCGCTAAAGTTGGGCGGGTCTATTGTTGGAAGCACTTCTCAATTTTGTCGTCTTATGACATGCCGCGCTGGTATCAAGGAGCACCATGTTTTAGCTTAACTTATGGATTTTTTAGTTTTTTTCGTTTTAAGTACTATGCATACGGCAATCTAGATGTAACATTACCAATACATTACCCCACTAAGCGATCTGACTAAGTCTTGGTGGCATGGTACAAGAAGTTATAACCAAAATTGAACAGCTCGTAAAGTATCATTAGATACTATAAATAGATGCCTAAATAATTGTAGTTTTCAACAATTTGGCGCGATTTCCGCGTAATTTACTTATGTGAGAATGATTAAGCTTTTCCTTTGTTTAAGATAATAGGCAAAAATAATACATTAGTCGATTTACTTTCATTACCTATATCGAAAGAACAAATAAAATTAGTTTAAACATTTTCCCGCTATTATTGTTGTATTGTTAGTCGACATGTTGTTAGAATTAAGTATGTTGTTGCTACAAATGAGATGCTTCCTGTAGGGTAGTGTTAGTGAATGACAATATGACATGCAAGTGCATGTAGGGTACAGTAATTTGCTCTGGATTCAGAACCAATCCAATATGCGAGCATAGCTATATATTGCAGTGTTATATAGGTACGTTGTTTTCAAGTTCCTGAAACAAAGTTGATTTTCAGATTCACAAAATTATCGGATTTGCACCTTCATTATTGCAAGTTGTTATGCAAAATGATGTTCCAATACCAGTCAGACAAGCAGGGGCAGTATATCTAAAGAATCTAGTTAGTTCAGGATGGCAGGAGAAGGAAGCAGAGGATGGTGAACCTATCCCATTTAACATCCACGAGCAAGACCGCTGCATGGTCAGAGATATTATTGTAGATGCTATTATACAGGCGCCAGATATAATAAGAGTTCAGTTGTGTGTCTGTCTTAAAACAATCATCAAACATGACTTCCCTGCTCGCTGGACTCAGATTGTGGACAAGGTCAGCATATACTTACAAAGTCCCGAACCAAACACATGGATGGGGGCACTTCTGTCTTTATATCAGCTAATAAAAAATTATGAGTACTGCATTGCTGAGAAGAGGATTCCACTAAATGAGGCAATGAATCTGCTTCTACCTATGATGTACAACTTGATTGTGAATCTCCAAGCCGATCCTTCTGCGGAATCTGTCCTGATACAGAAGCAAATACTCAAATGTTTCTATGGCCTAATAAAGGTAATATAATGTATTTTTATATTATTTATTTCCTAAAATTCAAAGACAGTGCAGAGATATATTAATTAATTAAATGGTTTCCATTTCAGTACATTTTACCTCTAGACCTAATTACAAAGGATATATTTACCAAGTGGATGGAGGTGTTGCGTGTTGTAATGGAACAACCTGTACCAGAAACTACACTACAGGTGGATGAGGATGAGCGTATGGAACTTCCATGGTGGAAGTGCAAAAAGTGGGCAGTGCACACCCTATACAGATTGTTTGAACGGTAATCTGAACTTGTGCATTTTAATTGTAATATGAAAATAGTGCAACAATTGACCATGACTTTAATTGTTTGTTAACCAGGTATGGCAGTCCAGTAAATGCCCGTGAAGAGTATGCACAATTCGCTGAGTGGTACCTTACAACCTTCACTGGTGGCATCTTGGAAGTCCTTCTGAGAGTATTGGACCAGTACAGAAACAAGGTGTACATTTCACCAAGAGTTCTTCAACAGACCATCAGCTACATTGACCAATGGTGAGCTAGTTAGTCCCAATAGCTATTTTACCTCTTCATATTTCATTTGTTGGTTTTAGAATGTTAGTAAAGATTTTGTAAAACTGGTAGTTTATTTTCTATCTGTATTGCAGTGTGACCCATGCACATTCTTGGAAGCTCTTGAAGCCTCACATGTTTGCCATTATACAAGATGTACTTTTCCCGCTCATGTCATATTCCGAGGCTGATGAAGAACTGTGGGAAAGTGATCCCCATGAATACATAAGAATTAAATTTGGTAAGTGGTCAGCAAAGATTTTATGTCCATTCATTGCTATAATTATTTAATGATAAGTCTAATTATTTTAATGATCAGTAGAACCTAAAAAGTATATAAATATGCTTGCCCATTACCCTTACACCCGGTTTCCGAAAGGCCGATCACTGTTAAAATCAATTTAATCTCTTATCAAGTCATCTGATTGGTTGACTGAATTATCAACAACCAATCAGATGACTTGACAAGAGATTTAACAGGAGATTAGTTAATTTTAGTGTTGACAAGCCTTTCAGAAACCGCGTGTTAGCCTTGAATTCTCAGTAAATAGGAATAGTTGATAGTCTTCGAACAACCCTTGACAAATGTTGCCTTTTCTATAAAATATTCTAAAGCACTGTGATAAAATAGTCAGCGACATTTTTATCCTAAATACTGCAAGCTAGCCAGTTAATAGACATTGACCTAAGCAGTTCTTTTCAATTAGAATCAGTTTTGTGACAATATCTAAGTAACTAACCTTGCAAAGAGGTATCTATATTAACACTCACAATATGAAAGTGTATATCTAACTAGTAGTTAGTCGGAAAATCGATTATGTCGCATTTACTTTGACCCACTTTTATATTATGGAAATAATAAGACTAGTAGTAAAAATACTAGATTTTCTTCCAAAACAGTTAAAACAATATTTAATTTTGTTTAGTTCTGATTGAGAAGGCTGTGTGACATTTTGTTACCTTAATTTTATTTAAGTTTGTTTGTCTATCATTCTTCGTCATGCACCTCTGGTGTTTTCAATAAAACCAATAACTATATCTCAATATCCACTTCCCCAATAAATTGCTTAATGACGTTTTCATGTTTCTAGATATATTTGAAGACTTCGTGTCGCCTGTCACTGCTGCTCAAACTTTACTGACTTCTTGCTGCAAAAAGCGCAAAGATATGCTAGGACGCACTATGCATCTGTGTATGCAAGTGCTGACCAATCAAAATGGCGAGTATGGGCCCCGACAGCGTGATGGTGCGTTGCACATGGTTGGCACTCTCAATGATATCCTCATCAAAAAGAAGATGTATAAGGACGAAATTGACTCTCTCCTGAGCCAGTATGTTTTTCCCGAGTTCCTCAGTCCTCTTGGCTACATGCGTGCCAGAGCTTGCTGGGTACTGCATAGTTTTGGTAATATTCGGTTTAAGAATGATCAGTTGCTTCTAGAGGCCATCCGATTAATTGTTACGGCTCTTCTCAACGACCACGAATTACCCGTGAGGGTTGAAGCAGCGGTTGCTATTCAGATGCTACTGAGTTCGCAAGAGAAAGCCCACAAATACTTAGAGCCTCAGGTGAAGGCAGTGACAACTGAGTTACTGAAGCTTATTCGGGAGACTGAGAATGATAACATAGCTATTGTGTTGCAAAAGATTGTACCTCTGTACACTGAGCAGTTAATCGACATGGCCTACGAGATCACCGAGCATTTGGCGACAACATTTAGCAAAGTAATTGAGACGGACCTAGGTACCGATGAGAAAGCTATCACTGCCATGGGCCTACTTAACACCATGGAGACAGTCCTCACTGTAATGGAAGACAATCCAGAAATTATGGCTCAGCTGGAGAAAACAGTGCTTCGTGTAGTTGGACACATACTGCATCACAACATTATGGGTGAGTGCATAAATTGAAACGGCCATGGTATCAATAAAGCAATGCAGTGGGTAACTAAAAGTACTAAATACTTCCGTCGCGTTATATATTAGGTACCCGACTTTAGTGAAACTAAATCATGGTATAGAATTGTGATGTAGTATACCTAATATGAATGTTGACTAGTCGAGAATATTTCTAACTTTAAAATTGCATCTTAAGATTGACATCATCGTTTGGCATAAAATATAGATTTGAATACATAATTCATGATTACTCAATTGTAACAGGAAATCTATCTTTGTCTGTTTTATAGTCATTGTAAATAGGTTTTGACAAGAGAATGTATAATTTACTGGATTGAAGAGGGTGATATGAAATTCTAAATATAGTGCCTGCCTTTGTTATTACAATTCATGTTAGTGTTGTTATTGTAATGGCTCATTACGTAAAAACACATTCAAATAGAGCTAAAATCAATGGTATAGAGTATTATTTTTTCTTTAACTGAAGTTATAGAACAAACTAATAATATATTTAATATTTATATTATTTCACAATATTTTGCTGAATCCTTTTGATATTGGTACGTAAGACTGTTTTAATTTCAAACTTTTCAATGTACACTTTTGTTTCAACAGAATATTATGAAGAGGCTATGACTCTGCTCTGCAACTTAACGTCTCGGACCATATCAGAGGACATGTGGAAGGTTCTAGAGATGCTCTACCAAGTTTTTGAGAAAGAAGGATTCGATTACTTCACTGATATGATGCCAGTGCTGCATAATTACATCACCGTCGATACAAACGCCTTCTTGTCTAATGAGAACCATATCCTCGCGATGTTCAATATGGCTAAAGCAGTAAGTATATGTTTATTACCTAATTTGAGAATCAAGAATGGGAATGTGTAACTAGGATTACATAAAAAAAATCAAAACGGTTTAAGAAATATTAAGTTTCTCTTTAGCAATGTGCTCATCTGCTATATTCAAGCGACTGTCAATTTAATCATATTTTTCATATTTCTGTAAAGCATCCATATTCAGAAATGGAATTGTTAACTTTGTTTTGCTAACATTTTATTGATGAGAGTATTCTAAGCAAAAATTGCAAGCGAAAGTACCTGTAAGTCGTAACATTTGAATGAATTATTACTCAATTTCTAATTGACTGCACGGTTGTTGCTGTGGCTGGGCAACTGGCTGCCGTGCACCGAGTCGCGGGTTCGATTCTCGCACGGAACAACTATTTGTGTGATCCACACATTGTTGTTCCGGGTCTGGGTGTCATGTGTACGTGAAATTGTATGTTTTTAACCGCACTTACGACACAGGATAAAATCCTAGTGTGGGGCAAAGTTTTAAAAAGAGAAAAAAAACCTTGTGATTTTGCTCACAATTTCAAAATTGAGAAACCCAAAAATCTGCCTGACTGGTTCAGACTAATCCCGAATTAGGCAGTCTCTGTTACTATTCAAAGCAAAAAAAGCGAGGTTATGTCTATTATAAATGGGCTTCAGCACATTTCTTTGTACTATCGTTTTACAATATATTTGGCGCTTTTTAAAATTGTGTGGTATCCACGCGTTGGAAATGTGACATTATCCAATTGCGAATGTTTTGTGTCAACGAACTCGACGTCTTACTTCATTGGAACATGGCCAATACGAGTGTTACCATAATTATCTGGATGTATGATTTCCGCTGTTATCAATAAAGCGTTCAATTTGTATCAGGGCTCTAAACGCGGAAATAATGTCTTTAGCAAAATACACTTTAATTTAATTTGCTTAAAGATCAAAATCTGGTAACAGTGATGGATTTGAGTAAGCAGTCTGGAATTTCTTTTGGTTATGTTTTGTACTCAAAAGATGCCGTTTTGCAGAGAATAAGTTAATATTCGTTTTTGGGTCGATTTGGATTTATAAACGTCATATTTATTGGTTCTACTATTATCTCATTTTATTTTCATTAATGAATAATAAACAGTTGCTTAATTTTGATAAGGAAATTATTTTTAATTTAGTTACTAATAAAAGTTTAAAAACTAACAATAGCTAAGTTAAGAAAAATAGCAGTATTTTAACGGTGCAAGTCGTGCTAACAGCTGCCGAGCGATTTCTTCTTTACTTTCTGTATGCAGTTAACTATAACCAACTGTAGAAAAGGATGGCTTTTTATGCTTTGATTCAACCCAATGTGGACGATTATTTATTATATTGGCGGTTGGCCGGTTGTTTTTTTGAGCCACTCGTAATAGAAGGCTAGCCCATTGTCATACAAGGAACCATTTTGCATAGCCTGATAAAACTTAGAATGTACGAAAACCGTAATGGACTCAATTTTGAACTAAATATGTGTCATATATTTTTTGTCGTAACACTGAAGTTGAGTTATTTGTTTCCGCTGATATTAGCTGCGCGAATTCTTGGTACCACAGAACTTCTGGTAGGTACCGTTAAGAAAATAAGCGTGATCCAATACAATCGGTGCTAATTAAACAAACATTAGCCGCTAATGCAATACAGAGGCCATGAATTCAAACTGCGAAACTAAATCTACATGCTTCGCTATTGATAATTATTTCTTTTATGTTAATGAAGATAAAATAATTGAGTCAGTGACGTGATTATGTGCAACATTGTTTTTATTGAACTGTTTTTGTTGATTTAGCGACTTCTTAAACGTTTATAACCATTCAAGCGAATTATTTATACTATTCATATTATAAGAATTCTTACAGTGTTATCCTAAAAGATTTTATTTTCGTTTATATCCTTGTGGTGTTTTGTGCTGTTTTTTACACATTAGCTATATAGGAGAACAATGAAAAACATAAATTAAAATTACGATTAATCTTGTCACCAGGTGCTGAACTCAGATTCTGAAGATGAGTCAGAAATATATGCGGCCAAACTGTTGGAAGTAATGGTTCTGCAATGTTCTGGCAAGATTGACAACTGCCTGCCCTCCTTTGTGGAGTTGGTGCTTAACCGCTTGACGCGGAAAGTTAACACTTCTGAGCTTAGGACCATGCTGCTTCAGGTAGTTTTTTTTACATATTTTAAATGTAATTAATTGCCTTGAAAAGAGTATTTTTAAGACTTTAAAAGTATTCATAACATTTTTTTATATTGCAGGTCCTCATTGCCATATTGTACTGCAACCCCCAGCTCTTATTCACAATATTAGACAAGCTGCAGGAGTCTGTGCCCAACGCATCTATCACACAGCATTTCCTGAAGCAATGGATCCATGACACAGATTGCTTCATGGGGTAAGAAATTGTCTAAAAACTTACACCATAATCACTAGGACTAGCCTACTAAATGTTGTAATTATATTTTGCAATGTTATTTCAATTAACACACACAATTCTTAATAGTACGAAAAATACTTTTACAGATTACACGACAGGAAGCTGTGCGTCCTCGGAATTTGCACCCTCTTAGAAATGGGTCCCCAAAGGCCTAACCTTGACGAAATCATGCCTAAGCTCTTGCCATCATGCTTGGTGCTTTTCGACGGGCTAAAGCGTGCCTACGAGATCAGGGCGGAGGCTGATGAGGAGACATCTTCTGAAGAGGATGACGAAGAGGAAGACGAAGGTCAGTTCTATTGATTGAACCTCAAATCGAGCTATTTTACTCTATAGATTTTTTACCTCATTGTAAAGCAATCTGCTTCAGTTTGCATTTGTACAGTATTTAAACATTTATTTGTTCCACCTTCTTACCCCCGTTTTAAATGTTTTGCTGATATTTACAGAAGTATTGTCGAGTGACGAAGATGATCTCGATGAAATGAACAACGAGTATCTTGAGAACCTTGCCCGCATGGCTCTGAAGACCAGCGAGCGACAAGGCGTCACTATGACCGCCAACGTCGAAGAATATGAAGAGAGTGACGATGTGAGTCCACTTGTTAGTATGATTTGCTTTTTGCGTACTAAGTGTTTAGGCATCAAGATTGGTCGGCCGTTAACGCAGCCGGGAGAAGTAACGATGCTGCCGGTATATCAACCACTTACTGGTAATACTTTTTTTATATTATACTTACAAAAGGTGCCGATTGACAAACTTCCAATATCGTTGGAGTTCCAAAGGTGATCATCAGTTACAGTGTGAGTACCTTGTGTTACATTACTTATTCGCCATAAATGTTTTTACAATTTGAATTGGTACAATACAGGTTACCGAGGGATATAAAAACACCTAACATTCGTAAAACATACCAAACCTGGGAAAAGGTCGGGTTCTAACATGCTTACGCAAACTTATACTACTAACCGCTAACTATGGGTGATGGGATTGTATTGTGGTAAAATGTGGTCGAAATAATTTAAGTTAAAAATATCAATAAACATCAGTTATTAGGCTTTTCAAAGGATGTTTGTGTTTGTTAAGAAGAAAATGTTTTTCAAACAGAAAAACCCAAGACCCGCTGTAACCGCCGTGCCACTGCCGAATAAAACATGGCAACCTATCGTAAGAGTTACTTTTGTAAAGCGCTAGAAGGATCATAATATTACTTCCAAGTATTTAGTATCCATTCCATACTTATCATATCGTAATTGTTATCACATGTCTCTAAATCAGAGATTAAATATTACACACACGTGTCTAAGCTGTCATTATAAAATTAGACCTTTTTTCAATGACTAACGAAATCTAAAGCCATCGGAAAAGCAATATCAAATATATGTCTGTTGTCTGTAGCGCTAGTAGGTAATAATAGAATGCCAATTCAATGTATATTGAGATTTGAGTACTCTGCGCGAGCTTTTCACAGTTTCGGTCGCGTAATATTAACTTAGATTTATATCGCGTCGATATGTCGCGAACTTACGTCACATTGTGTTAGCGTTGTTTCCGTACCGTGCTGCGCCATCCAACCGTCTCTGAATTCTCGCACTAGCCACTCAGTCACTCAGTAGATAATTCCGTAGTCGACATAAATTCAAGGTCGACTTCACCAAAATTTTTGTAGCTTAGTTGTAGGTATCATTAGAAGTGATTCGTTTTGTTCTCAGGACGACGATGATTATGAGCCAGAGGACACCGCCATAGAGTGCTACACAACTCCTCTCGACGAGAAGGATTGCGTCATTGATGAATACATTAAATTCAAAACTACATTGCACAGTAAGTATTATTTTTATTCAACAAACATGTCTCAAAATTGATTGTCATCAAATTTTCACATTTCCCATAATCTAAAAAGCATATACTTTTCATAATAATTGACAAAGTTACAATGGTGTGCCGGATTCAGACATTATTATAAAAGTGTTACAAAATCAATTTAGACTAGAAAGAGTAACATGTACCTGGTTGATCTAGAATACATTAAATTGGAATAATAAAAATTATATCATAAGTCACATAAATGTATTAGAGTCGCTGAATGTAGTTTTGATTTGCCCCTTAAATCAAGTTAATTTTCTCATTCCTCAGCTCTCTCAAATACCGAGCCAGCCCTGTACCACGCCCTCACGAGCGGACTCGACGAGGCGCAACAGAAGCAGCTCAACGCTGTCTTCGTATTAGCAGACCAGCGCAAGGCGCAGCAGGACAGCAAACGCATAGAGCAAAGTGGAGGTAGAGTAAACATGCTTCTAAAACTTTACAATTAAATATTTATTTGAAAATATCTTATTAAATCTTCATTAAATTAATCATCAATATTCGTTGAATTACGATCGACTTCTAACGTCAACTCATCATAGCAATTATAATTTATTAAATACAAAATTAGAAAAATATTCTAATCCTGTTCAGATTGAAAAAAATACCTTCAAACATCCTTGTGAGCTTTGTGACTAATTTTAATTTATTTTTATTCCACCAATGAAAAACTCGACTTAAAATAGATACAGATGAAATAAAACGTAATATCTAGGTTAGTAAAACAGTTGTATTCTCTTCCAGGCTATATGTTCACCGTACCTGCACAGGTGCCAACCAAATTCAAATTCGGATCATAAATCTAACGTAGCAAACATTACTCGTAAACATTCATCACACTTGTTGAATATATCCTCCAATTTGCCGCTTACGCTATAATTAATACAAATAAGTTTATCAGCTCTAAATTGTTCGTACGATTTAGCATTGCAGTTAGAGCACTGAAGCCGCTTTGCACTCCGACGGCAATGTAAACTGTTCTTAGCCCACATGCGTAGGCGGCTAGCAAAGGCTTAAATTCCTAATGAGGCTGTAGGCTAGTCTGCCCTCGATTCAAGCCCGCGACAACATGGGACAGGAGCATATATTGCAAGTGTGCTTGTCTTCGAACATATATGTATACACAAATGTGACACATACAAAATAATACGTTTTAAATACTTACAAAGTGAATATTTGTGACAAAGGATTACTGTCAATTTAGGCGACCTGCTATTTATTATGTTTATCACTTTGTACATATTTAATATGTATCGTTACTTTACTGATATTGTGCTTCATACATTATATATTATCTATAAATAATGTTAATTTGTAATATGTAATTATAAATGAACATTTTTAACCATTTATTTTGTTTTGATTCCAAATAATATGGCTTTTAGTTGGCAATTTATTCTTGATAGAGTTAGTTAATTGAATGAATATATTTATTAATATTGTGACGACAAAGACGATAAGGTAATTAGAGAAAATTCAATCGATTTCCTTAATTCATTATGACACTACTTCACAATTTTACATGTTAGTGCCAACGAAATATTATTGTAGTCTAATTTTGAAATGTAATACCTATTGCACGGACAAGTTGTGTTGCTTATAGGTCGTTATCGAATTGCAATTGAATATGTGTTATGAAGTAACAATATCAGTGTATAATTAAAAGTGGAGAAAACCTTCAGGTAATATAATGCAACTATGTCTCGACTTAAGAGGCTAAACACACTGTTTACTCTAGATTTATTAACATATAATGATGGTATATTCGGGAATTAGATGTTACAGTTTAACTCTGTCTGTTTGTAGTTAGATGGGTTCCGTATTTTATTATAGTTCAATTCATAATATATCAATGTTTGAAATCATGTTTGTTTAGCGAAATATAATTAATGTTAGTGGTAATACGTAAACATGTCTTATTCAATAGTCAATAGTATGTAGGTAGTTTTTCTTGAATAGGAACTGATAGTAACAATCAAATTTTAAGTACATATCATAACATGTTGCTTCCGTCGTTTAATTAGGACGAACACACTCTGCAGACCTTCCATCAACGTAGTTAGAATGTACGGAACCCCTGCAGGTTACATTAGCATTAAACCAAACTTACCTAAATCGAAAGTTTCGGCCTTAATGAAATTATAATGATTCGGGCCCTAAAGTAAACATGTGTTACAGTACTATATCAACAAGATGTGTCTATCATTTGATCACGAAATGTTTTAGAGTAAAATTATTTTGTACTCTACTGCCGAACGAAATAAATCAAAGTAAGTTATTGATTCCAATACTTGGTTAGTAAGAAAACGTTGTAACTATATTTTTATGTAGTTCTCAAATTTATAATATCTGCAACTGATGAGATGTCTACATTATTTGTTACAAGGAAATTCTAAAACTTAGGATACAATTGTTACTGTTACATTGTTTTCTCACTAGCTGCCTTTTTCTATTTTTGTTTTTTTTTTCACAATTAGTTTAAAATACAGATTATTATAATGTTTTATGCATAAAGGATATGCATCAATTAAACTGGCAGTTATAGTTCGAACGCAATTGTATTAAGTTTTAAAAATTTATTATGTAGTTGTCAAAACTTTGTTATTTCTGTTTACAATTGGATGGAAAGATTATTTACTCGAGTATAAACAGACACGGTAACTGATTAGGGTTGTGTATATTAGAATGATGTAATTGTACACAATAGTTATCACTTATTTATTGCCATCATTGGAGTAGATTCGTTAGTATGAAGTGACTGTCTCGTATATTTGTTATGATAATCTCAACACTGATTGTATTCAGAAATTTTGTTATTGTGCTTATATACTTTTCGACAACTGTTGATATAATTGTTATGACCATCACAATCTTTGGAATAGTGCTCTGCTTTTAAGAATTTAGTGGAATATGTGTATGACAAAGTTTATCTGTTAGACTTATATTAAGGTTAATCTATAAATATGTGAATTCAGATTCTGACGTTAATTTACAAGACACAAATAGTTTGTTACCTTTTAAATTTGTTATGTAATGATTGAATTGATGAACTTTGACGTCATGTTAACGTGGCGAAAAGGGATGTACTAGTGCATGAGATGAGGACTTGTTACTGTTTTCTTCTGGCGTGAGGTGCGATAAGACTGTTTTGGCGATACTTGTTATTACGTTGCTGGAGTGAATCGTTGACTGACCTGCCGCAATCACCGACCGCAGTTCCGCCTACCAGGCCTCGAAATCGTCTTACATAGTGGTGTGGTTTATAAGTGACTGGTTAGAGATTAGCATGTAAGGCACACGGGAAGACTACAGATTGGGCCAAGCTCGTATATTTTTTATGTAATTAGTCTTAACAATTTCAAATTGGCAAATTGATCAAAATTATAGAAAAATCGCGCTTGTTTCTTTTGACTGCTTATATTATTTTCACATAGCTAGCAATTACAATCAAAAGTTAATATGTAATAGTGTCGATCTCATAAACAATATATACTCATAGTTTTCTCTCAAGTATGTACTAGAAAAATAGCAAAATCCGTTTTAGAATTACAATATGACATTTGTTGAATCTTAAACAAGATAGCTGCAGCTGCGTAATGCATTTGTTTTTGATTGATGTTGGTGTTTATTCTATGTGACGGAATGTAATGTATTCTATGCAATAAAATACTACATGTTATTGTAGTGGCACATTTCACGGTTGTTACTTTCCTAAACAGTCGGTTGCAGAGTCAACCGACAAAATTTTGTGTATAAACCGCTCTTGTCTAATGGAACTTACTGTCATCAATGAATTGTCTGTGTGATTTGTATTATTATTCTATACCGCAGCTTAGATGTATACACGATTATAAATAATCTGTATTTTCTAAAACTTGTTTTTCATTTCTCTCCATACCATAACCCCTAGTAGAGTTAGCGGTGTAACTGTGGATATGTACTTACATTTATTTTTCTCCAGTTTTGCAATGTTTCTGTCTATGTAAGTTAGTGTCTTACACACACAAGACAGCGTGTGCTGTGCTAACAATTTTTCTAAATATTTATACTTTATGCAGGATCAGTTCATTGACGGATGCAGAAATGAGCCAATGGTTGGTGTAAGAAGCAAATAGACAACTCACAATTTTATAAAGACATACATGATATCTATCAGTGAAAAAATTTTGCCAATCCGACCAGTGGTTCCAAAGATTACCCCCTACATACAAACTTACAAATTTTACCTCTTTATAATATTAGTATAGATGTAACATATTTCGAGTTTGGTCATCGCCACTCAGTGTCGCGGGACGCGTGACTTAGACTAGAGTAGGTAGGCCTTTTGTTCAGCAGTGGACATCTTTCACAGATGTTTTTTTTTAAAGAAAAATGCGGTTCTTTATTGTGCAGTAATTTGTTTGGAAATATATCATTGGTTTGGGAGAGTCATGCTTCGGCACGAATGGGTCGGCTCGACCGGGGTGATAATGAAGGAAAAAATGAGGAAATAGGTAGGTAGGTAATATTTATTTTTTTAACTAGTCCTGTAAAAAATATTTCATCTTATAATAATATGAAGGATGCTTCTACAATCAGTACTTGGTGAATAAAATGATAAGGTTCTTTATTTCTAGTCTAAAATAGTTTTATGAGTTACCTCCATAGATGGCGTAAGTGGTTACTTCGAAGGCTTCGAAGCCTTCGAGCTTTATAATAGTGTTGTAGGTAAAGCTGATTCACTCCACAGAGTAAGAGCTTTAGTGCTGTAATCTATAACTAATTAATTATAGACGCATCGTAGGCAGTTTCAGCCCGGGTTGCGGGATAGGCGCAATGAGGCACCGCGACCTCGGCCCAGAGCAGGAGAAGGAACAGGGAGGTTTTAGTCAGTAAGAGTCTGACACTCCCTCCCGCCCGGCCCTGGGCGGGAGAAAGCATTTGATGATTTTCCCCTCACAAAAAAAAATCGTAGGCAGTTTTGCTTTGAGTAATTAGTGCCTACAATTACCATACAACTATATAGAAAAATTTAAATACTCATTGGGTTAATTTTTTTTAAGTCCCTACAACCCTTATTGTAGGTATGTTGAGTCAACTAAATGAATGTTTTCACTTTCAATATAAAAGTTGTAAGAAGAGTAATATTATAAAATATCAGTTTTTCAAAAAACTCAGTTTGTTTATTTTTCATTCTGGACCTGTTTCAGCGCCTTCACACTACATAATAATAGGGGCGAAAGTCTTAAATTATTTTACTAGTGGTATCCATAGATGGCGTTAGCAGTGCCCTTAAAGGTCGACTCGAGGTTGGGCTTTCGTGATTTGAGTAGAGCGGTAAAACTTTTATCATTACATAGGAATTTGAATGAATGTTCAATAGCTAGACATATGTAAATATGTATCTTTATAGCATACAGCTTTTAATGGAATAGGAGGCAAACGAGCTGATGACGGATCACCTGATCATGTTACTCTTTTAATGTGTGCAAAATCATTGAAAAAAGTTTCACGTTCTCGGCGAGGCGAAAGGGAGCGTCCAACTCTAACTTACGAAAACGAAGCCTGCTCCCACACGAACTTATGGTAGAAGAAATTGAAGCAGACTACAATAGCTAGTTGCCGGTTGGCTATCCCTTTCTAGTACCTACCTAGTGATTTTCTGAAAATAGTAAATCCACTCAAAATTCATAACGTAAAATGTTACAATACTCACGTTTTTTTTTGTCAGGGGAAAATCATCAAATGACTTCTTCTGCCGGGTTAGGCGAGAGAGTGTCAGACTCTTTCTGACTACAAACCCCCCCGTTCCTTCTTCCGCTCTGGTCCGAGGCCGCGGTGACTCATTGTGCTTAACCTGCAACCCCGGCTGAACATCAGCCCTATAGGGCCCCGTCTATTGGTCCATTGGTTCTTTAAGGCGCGCTCGGAACGCTCGGAACGCGACGCGCCGTACGCTCGGGTCTGGTTCTGGTCGGGCGGCAAGTCACCCTTACTCGCCGTCTACAAACCCGCGCTTACGGTGGCCGGAGATCATCTTTCGATCCCCGACGCTCGGAATGTCGCCTACTGCGGCGGCTGGGGCGCGAGGAGGATAGATCCCTCACGCTCTCTGCCTCCTCCTTTGCGAGCATCACTGCTTCACAGAAAGAGCAGACGGCTTCCCAGTTCCTCTCGCTACGAACCATGGCCTCGATTAAGGCTGGGCGCGAGAGGTCACCGCCGCCGATCACTTCCACGAGGACACGGCTGTTCTCAGCCCAGGCAGGGCACACCGCCATCGCATGCTCCTCACAATGACGACACTCGGGCGTTTCCTCCCGCTGAATCCGAAACAGGAACCTACCGAAGCTGCCGTGCCCTGTAAGCACCTGTATCAGGCGGAAGCCACTCCTCAAAAAGGGATCTTACCACTCGTATAACAGCGTGCCCAGCCCACGGTTACGACAGTCGTTGCTTCCACTCTGCCATGAGATCTCGCCGGAGCTCATTCCGCCACGCCCTAATTTGGCGCGGCAGAGGATCCTCGCCCCGGCGACGCGCGTATGCGCACAAACTGTAGACGCGCGCTAGCGCTTTCTCTTCCAGATCCCACGGCGGTGATTCGGCAAGGAGGTTCGCCGCCTCCCCGGAGATCGTGCGATATCCGCGGATTATCCGAATAGCCATGACCCTCTAGGACGCGACCAGCGTACTAGCTGGCCGCGCCTCAAGTCCTACACAGGGGCCCTACAATACTCACCTAGTGTTTTATTAACTTACCTTACATCTTCATTAACTGATTAGGATTTTTTGAAATGGGAGCAACGCCATCAAATGTCGAGAGTGGGTGATGAACCAAAACCCGCTAATGGCTCAGGTGTCAAACTCACTTATTTTCATAATACTAAAAGTGACTGTGCAAAATTAGTTAGACCAACATCGTCTTTCATGGACTGACCATGGTAGGTTGTCAACTTATGGGGTTGATGACCCATCTATGGTGGAAGAGATGATCTATGGCAGGCCATCTATGACAGGGCGCCTCGCCTCCCTGTCTCTTGTAGCCGTTTCCATAGCTAACATGACGGCATCGCAATGCCGTGCCCATTGAATATGGACCAGAGAAACGAAACGCACGGACGTCCTTATTGTGATGGCTAATTGAAGAATTGGTGATGTATCCTGCTTGGACTGAACTTTACCAACACGGCAGTGTTCAGCCCAAGGTAAGCCATAGAAGCGAGAATAACTAAAATTTATTTTCTCCTTAAACAAAACTTTCTTCAAAGCTTTTACGCGTAGTCTGGCATCCATTATCAAACACCTGCGAAAGAATCCAAACAAGTTGTTTGTCAGGTTTGACTTTTTGGATGATAGATGTAGGACGAGGCGGTCAGCGAAAATTTGCTTAAACAACTTATCTAGGAAATGGGAAACTGTATCTTCTTTCTGCGATGCAGTGAAGCTCGCAAAGAAGGCGAAGCCCGTTAGGGAACTGTCCTCCTCACGCCCCAGCCGTCGCAGTAGGATACACACCGGACGCCAGGTGACTTATGACGATCTACGGTCACCGTAATCTGCGATCGGCAAGCAAGAGTGGTTCGCCACCCAACCAGAACCAAGTGTCGCGCAAATAATGTACCTACTTGAATTCGCTGGTGCAGCATAAAATGCCAAAATGGTATCTACCTGCGTTTAGTATGTAGATTATGTTAACACAATTACTAGGATAAATACAATACTAATTATATTAATACCATTATTACAATAAGTATTTAATACCGCAATGTGGTAACAATTGTACTAATATAGCATATGTTACGATGTATAAACTAACGAGTAAACTCTACTGGAATTAGTTCATTGTCGTGTAACACCCGTCGGGGGGTTGCGACGAATGCTTCGGCGATACCCGCCCCTCCGACACATGGGTTATTGGAGGAACACCGGGTTGGTTTTTAGTCAGTAAGAGTCTGACAGTACCCTTCGCCCTTCCCCGAGGGTGAGGTCTCCATGAGGATTTTCCAACCCGACACCAAAAAAAAAAAAAAAAGTTCATTGTCGTGTGGGCTGAGACGTCATGCTTACAAAAAATTCTTGTAGTCGGTTGTTCCGCTCCCAACTAAATTGGTGACCGGACCAATAGCTGGCATTAACGTCATACTCGTATAGGCAGCTTCGGGTGAGTTCGGTGTAGCATATGGTGGCAATGTGCCCTGCTTGCGTTGAGCACAGCCGTGTCCGCAGGGAAGTGATCGGCAGCAGGTATCTCTTACGCCCGGCCTTAGTCAAGTCGAAGTCATGATGCGTAGCGATAGCAACTGAAAAGTCGATCATCTTTGCAGAAAAAGGAGACCTTTTTCTGCAAAGATGATCTCCGTAAAGTGGGTCTAGGACGGCGTACAAGGATAGGGTGCGCGTCAAAGCGCCAATAGACCACCGCATACCGGGCCCTATATGACTGATGTGCAGCCGGAACTTTGGGGCAAGCGCAAATGTTAAATGTCAAATGTTAACTGTATATCAAGGGCACAGGCCACAAGTTCGAGGACAGCTAAATAACGTTATAAATAAAGTATCATTTGCCGGCCGTATTTTAGAATCGATACGACCTACAAGCATTTAAGTAACGCGCGTAGTCCTTCCTAAAAGGCCAGCAACGCGTCCGTGGCTCCTCTTGTGTCCATGGTCGGCGCTGATCACTTACCATCAGGTGATCCATCTGCAAAAACTCACACATAAGCAAAAAAAGACAATTCATTTCATTAAATTATTAAAAGTGTTCGATCAACGACATTTTATATGGAAATGTAACAAAGAAGTAAATTGTAAAACTGATTGTAAAAACCATGGAGTTTCTTATTCTTCTCCATAGGAATCTACACTTTGAAACGAGCAAATAGCTTCACTAGAGGACAGACTGGCAGGCCTAAAGTTTAAGCTCTTCAAATACTTTTTTACTTTTTTTGCTTGACGTTCAAAAGTGCGTATTGTAGTCTAATTGAAATAAATTATTTTGACTTTGACTTTGTTTTCAACCAATAAAAAAGACCGGAAACTGTTTATCAACTGATTGACAAAAATTCAATGTTTTCAATAATAAAATATAGATTTAAGTTGTCTACCAGCCGAAATCTAAAAAAATAGTTTTCACTAACCTAGCCAACCTTGAAATATCGCAGCATCCTATGATTGCGAATAACAGACACCCCTTTTTATAGCAAGACACCGGCTAGATCCCCTTTCACTGGTGATTTTGCATGACCAGTTCTATTCAATTCGGCTTGAATCAAGCTTACCCTGCATAACCTGGTGTTATTAATGTCAGGACAGGTTTCTATTGAGGACATGTGAACAATGAGGGGGAATTCTAGCCTCAAGGCAAGGTTAACTTCATACAAAATATTTTTTTATTATTTAATTCTCGTTTTTATTTATAGTTTAAATTGTTTTGTTATTTCACTGGAATAGTTTAAACTATTACTTTTTTTGTTTTCAAAGTTTGTGACAACTTCATGGTTGATTGTAAGGGCAACTAATTCTGTGTTATCACCTCGAAAAATATCAATAGAGCCGTCTAAGTTGATTGCGATACATTAGAGTTAAAATGACAGTCACAATGATTTTCAAATATAAAAAGTTAACTCACAAGAGACTTGGAAAAATGGAACTACCTCGCTCATTTTTTTATGGGATAAGTCGGCAAACGAGTAGATGAGTTACCTAAATAAAATATAATAGTAAGCAATCGGTGCAACTCTAAAGGAGTTACGTGTGGGAGAGGGAGGGATTGGTCATCCGATAACCCCACTCACACGGCGAAACACGACGCTGTGGTTGTTTCACGCCGGTTTTCTGTGAGGCCGTGGTATCACTCCAGTCGAGCCGAACCATTCGAAATTCATTTTTCCTGTACAGCGACAAAATCTATTTCAATAATTGATTACACCAGGTTTTGTGTTGCAAGTTTGAGTCACCGACTTCAGGTCGGTGGCAGGCAGGAACTCGTTCCTTTCGGCAAATGGAACTCAATAGGACTGGTCGTGTATAATTACGTGGATGAAAGGGGAATAGCAACTGGGGTCTTGCTGTTAGAAGGGTGTCTGTTATGCTTGTTGCAAACTGCGATATTTCAAGGTCAGTGGGGTACAAAGTCACCTGCTGCGCGTAAGTTATGTGGGTACTGAGTCACAGTATTTTGGGCTGAAAATACTTACTTTATTAATTGATACAACTCTATTTAGTTTTGTTCCTTGATTATCATTGATAGTACTGTGGCGTTTTTAATAGTGATGCATTCCGATTACGCATATTTGATTGCACGGTTGTCGCAGTGGCTGTGCAACCGGGTGCAGCGTGTCGCGGGTTCGATTCCTACACGACACTACACTTTGTGTGATGTGTGTAAAGGCTCTTAAGGTTTGTTAAATATTATATATTTTGATTGAAGAAAAATTAGAGAAAAAGGACTTAAAAGTGTCTTGTTGGCTTGTAAGTAGTTTAACCAATGAAAGAATTAAGAAACATAATATTCATTAATTCATTCAAAGTATTGGCATTTACCAGTTTAACACGATTTAAGGATAAACTTGTTTTGCCGAAGCTGAACTATCCCAAGAAGTAGAACACATGGCAACCAGACATGATAGACGAGGTAGTTAGAATGATAAATGATTTTACCCTATAAAATGCTGCTTTGTAGTTCTATCAAACTTCTTGAAGCAACTTTCCTTCATTCGCTGGTCATGATAGTGGTGTCATGTAATAGCTAAACCTATTACCTATATTTAATATCTACCTATATACTAATATTATAAAGATGTAAAATTTGTGAGTTCATAAGTTTGCATGTAGGGGGTAATCTTTGGAACCGCTAGTCGGATTGCCAAAATTCTTTCACTGATAGATAGCTACAATGTTCCTGATTGCTATAGGCTATAATACATCACGCTATGGTCAAATGGAGCCGAACACCGGGTGAGATCACGCGAGAGTAGCTAGTACATAATTATATCTGGGTTACGAACCTGAGACCATACCTATAGCAGTTGCAACCGACTATTCGTCTTATCTAGCAGTTGTGACCGTGCTACAAAACAACCAAAAGACATCAGCCTACCCCTGTTCGTAACATCAAGCTTTCTATTTATAGAAAAGTTTCTACAGTAACGCTGGCGTGAGGGAGGCTTTGACTAGTGACGGTAGGAAGGATTCGCTGCACTTGCGCAGTGCTGTCACGTGTAAATCAATATCGCCTTTGGATCGCGCACAGTGAGACGAATCGTCAACAAGCTTGTCACGTTCATCTGATACTGTGAAATTTTGTACTACCTATTATCATGGAGATCGGTGAGTAATTGGCCGTTGGATTGCTCATTTAGTCACGTGTTTGTGCACTCGCGTTCAATATAAAGCTAGGTCATTTTCGGCGCGCTTTTGAGGTTAATCCGAAAAGTAGGTAAGTGGAACACCCTGTATATAAGTCGCTCCTGCTGATGCTGAGAATTAGTAAAAGCTGCGTTAAACAGGTAGCCCTAAGTATTGTGATTGGTTGTGTTTGAGCGTCAAATGTAACAGTGTTAGTGTAATTAATTATTATTATTATGTTTGTTCGTTTCCTTTCACGGGATCACAGGATCCCGGACCTTTGGAAGGCGTACGAGGGGCCGGAGCCAACTGCGCAGAGGCCCTTAAGACAACTTTAATCTAAATGAAATGGGACACAAACCGGCGACTATCCCTGTATGCACTATGGAAATGCACCCAAGGACAGTCCCCGGTTAGTGTAGGACTATTGCGGATAATGGAAACAAAATACAAGGCTATGGGTGTGGGTTGCTATGGGCTAGTAGGATGGGAACTATAGAAGGACTATGGCACCTGCCGAAACAATGTAATTTATACACGTAAAAATGGCAGGCGGAGACTCGCCAACTCACCGACCGGGCCCCCGGGAATGGTTGCTAGTAATAGCAACAGAGGGACAACGGAAATGTGAGTGGCTGAAGGGTGAAGAAACTGCCACCAGCTTTCTACTCAGATCATCTGCATCTGCCTAAGCATCCTGCATCACTGGCCCACTCGCCGCTTACGAACAGCTTCCACCCTCCGAGCAGGATCACTACTCTCGCGACTCCACTCTGGACGGCCAATGAAGGCAAGCCAGAGGTGGGAGACCTGTTCCTCGTCATCGTCCACTCCGGCCAGCCAATGAAGGCAAGCCGGAGATGAGGAACGGTGACTTCTCCCTGGAGCAATCGGGATGATGGTAGCCCGCGGGATCGCTAATTCCCGTCACCTCGCCTCAAGGTGCCCTGCGGGCTTTATTATTATTATTATTATATACTTGAACACACTAGCAGCTTAGAAAGCTGATGCGTGCGTATTAATGGATTTGGAGATTTTGTCGAGTCTGTTTTTAAAAGAATTAACTGTGGGTGCTTTTATCACATTTTCTGGGAGTTTATTCCATTCCGTGACCACCCTATTAATGTTCAAACTTCTTTACTAAAGTTTTTTAACTTTGCACGAGTTTAAGTTTTCTTGTGTGCTATTTACCTACTTATTCTTTGCTCTATTTGCCGACTTTGTTAGCGTTTTCTAATAAATCAAGTACATATGACCATTGTAATAAATTATATGTTTTAGAGTTGTCTTTTTACTCGAAGTTTATCTTATTTTAGGAACTAGAACAGATACTTGTTTGTATGTTAACTTAAAAACTGCAATCGCTATTTTATTTTAATATTTAAATATCCCTCCACCGAAATAGCCTACATCCCTACCATTGTGTGAAAGGCGGAGATCTGCGATCACTCACACATAGGGTTGTCCAATGTTATTGCATTGTTATTGCCACTTTATAACGACACATTATGCAGATTAAGAAACTCTAATCGTCAAACCTTTTCAATCGATTTCCAACTTTATTACTCTACGATAAAGTTCATAAATTTTGCAATACTTCGCCAGTTTCGGGTAGCTTGATGACATGTGTCATGGAATACAGGAGCAGATGGTAGTTTTGGCAGTACACGAATTGGCATAAATGAGAGTGGCAGTTGTACAGAATATAAAATGTTGAGTTTGGTGAAAGCAATTTGTGTTATAAGTCCGTTTAAATTTGCAGACTTGGCCAATACTGATTCAGCCATGCTGGGAGGCGAGGGGATGGGCTCGCTTCAGACGGAACAGCGCAGTCTGGAGATACAGGAATACCGTCGTAACTACTTCAGCATAGTGGTGGCGGCGATCCTAGCGCGGGCCCGTCGCGAGTCGGACGACACCGATGACATCACCGAGGCCGCGGCTCGCTGCCACATCAGCGACCAGCCGATCACCGCTCCAGGTCCGAATCACCCGAACCCTTTCAACTCCTAAATCAGCGTCAACATACGTTCCCAACCATTCAGTGTTTAGTGTCACCTACTTTCCGCTCAATTCGTGTTCCTTAGTTTTGTGTTTACGTCAAACAATTACACTTCGTTTTCTGTTCTATTATTTGTCTATCAAAGTCTCAATTTGTATCACCTTATGATTGATTGAATTGTACTTAATCTTTAGGGATAAAGTGTAATTTAACTATCGGAATAATATTGTTAATAGTGGGTCCTTTTAAAGCTATATAGAGATTTTATTCTGTGATGCCAAATGTTTACAGATAAAAGAAATACTATGTCTTGTTAAAATGAAATAGCTGAATTTTTATCTTATATTTTGGATGTACTTTTGGACCCTTAATACAAAGGTTTTTGTAATAAATCTGGACTGTTAGTGGGGATATAAGGTGCAACCTGAGATAACTATGTGATGTCCTTTTCTCTGTGTGTAATGTGAAAATAAATGCAATGGAAAATTATAATTATTGCGTCGTGTTCTTTATTGAATTCCTTATGCAATGTACTGTACTTAAACTGGTCGATACACAATACAAATTATACCTTCAGACATCGTAACTGTATACTTATCATACTAAAATTTCTTGTTCTTAAAATCAATAAGTAAATAACAAATACTAATTCATAAACACTATATCAGGTCATGCCTTTGACTCTACTAAATCTGAATGTGACACAATGACATACTGACCACGAGAGACGGTCAGACACAGAGCACTGTGAGATCGGCGACTCACAGCGTCTGGGCCGGACAGTAATTAGGCCATAGTTTTATCAGTATGGGTGTTTATCACGGGTATTTATGCAGGCTTTTTTTGTGAGGGTAAAATCATCCAATTATTTCTGTAAGTGTCAGACTGTCACTGACGAAAAACATCCCCTTCCTTCTAGATAGATTGATAGAGATATCCTGCTCTCCTGAACAGAAGCGCAGTTACGATGTTCATCTGGAGGAGCTGTAATGGAGCCATTATTGGCAGTCCATCACGACACCTTCTCTGGTTGCAGCGGCGACAGAAGTAGTCGAGGGAGTGGCGGTGACTACGGCAGCGGCATGACCGACGGCGTGGGTCGCAGGATCGATGTTGGGGACGGCGGAGGTGGCAAAAAACCTACCTTTGGCCCTGGGTTTGGTGGGGGAGGAGTAAGCTTTGCCCCTAAACCGGAGATCGGACCGGTAGTTTGCCAGCCGCCGCACATACTACGCAGTGCGGCCGCCGACCCTAGGACCGCGCTGCCCATTATTAAAGTAGCGGTAAATGCGGTCCGCCTCCGAGTTGCGTTTGGCACCCACGCGGTAACCCATAAGGCAGCATAAGCACGTAAGAGGCCGGGGCTCTTGCACTCCATCAATTTGAAATAAATGGTATCTGCCTTGACCTGGTCAGCAGGGCACCCTCTGGTCTTGGGGACAGCAAGCGACAGTTTTTCCTCCGTAACGGAGTCGTCCGGGCCCATAATCCGCAATCTTAGGCCCTTGGGTCTTGGGCCTGGTCACACGAGCCAATTCCGCTGCGAGGCACGCCCTGAGCATGTCGGCGCCCTGAGCATGTCAGCGGATGCGCCGTTGGATGCCCCGGTAACGTCCAAGAAACGGGCTCCGGTCACGGTGACCATTACAGTGAATCCGACAGTGGCCACGAACCCCGCAGGCGTTACTGATCCCTTTAACTTTTATATTCCATGAATGTTACTCGCAATGCTAAAGGATTTACCACGAATTGCCGGCCTCTTATAGGTTATTAGGGATAGGGGATTTGGGGAGTGAGTATAATATGGGGATAGTGAGTACAATATGGGAAATAAGTATTGTAACCTTACACACACGGCAAAACATAACGTAAGTGTTGCTTCATGCCGGTATTTATTTATTTATTATAAGGTACGCTCACAGCTTATGTATACAAGTGGTTGCGACCACGACCTGCGCAACCAGCTCGAAACGACAAGCATACCAGGGTATTTAAATAATTATTTTTATTCGTAAATACCTATTATATGTTGTCAAACCATTGTCAATCCAGCACGCCACCCAAGAGCTAAGCATTTTTTTTGTGAGGGGAAAATCATCAAATGACTTCTCCCGCCCGGACCGGGCGGGAGGGAGTGTCAGACTCTTACTGACTAAAAACCCCCCTGTTCCTTCTCCTGCTCTGGGCCGAGGTCGCGGTGCCTCATTGCGCTTACCCCGCAACCCGGCTGAACATCAGCCCTTTAGGACCCCGTCTGTGGTGGTCTATTGGCTCTTTGAGGCGCGCGCGGAACGCTACGCGCCGTACGCTCGGGCCTGGTTCTGGTCGGGCGGCGAGCTGCCCTTACTCGCCGACCGCAGACCCATGCTTACGGTGGCCGGAGATCGTCCCTCAATCCCCGACGCCCGTAGTGTCGCCAGTTGCGGCGGCTGGGGCGTGAGGACGAGGATTGCTCCCTCACGCGGGCCGCCTCTCTCTTTGCGAGCATGACTGCTTCACAAAATGAGGAGACGGCGTCCCAGTTCCTCTCACTCCGCACCATGGCCTCGACTAAGGTCGGGCGCGAGAGGTCGCCGCCGCCAATCACTTCCCTGAGGATACGGCGGTGCTCAGCCCAGGCAGGGCATACCGCTACCGTATACTCCACCGTATCCAGCGTACGAGCTGGCCGCCCTCAAGTCCGGCGCCCACACAGGGGCCCCGTAGAGGGCCATGGATCGCACAATCCCCATATACAACCTCCGGCAGGAGACGTTAGGCCCCCCGAGGTTGGGAAGGAGCCGCTTCAGCGCGGCCCCAGACCGTTCCAACTTAGGAGCCAAACGACGAAAATGCTCCGTGAAGTTCCATCGGCTGTCGAGGACGAGACCAGGACCCTGCCGTTATTTGGGACCAATCTGGAGGTGGCGCGTTCCGATGGCCATAAAAACAAATGGCCTCGGACTTGTGAAGCGCCACCTCGAGTTAAAACTGCCGGATCCTTGCAACGACTGTCGCGACCGCTTGCGACATCAAGGCCGGCCGCCGCCTGATGTGACCTCCCATTCGCCAGCACCAGCGTGTCGTCAGCATAACAAACAATGGTGACGCCACTCGGGAGGTCGGTGCGTAGCACCCAAACCCAAGAGCTAAGCTGACACGACACTATATTGAGGATATCACAGACATCAGCCTGTACGAGATAAGGATTGCTCTCAAGCAGCTTAAAAACAACAAGGCTATGACGGAATCACAATGGAACTTCTGCGAGCGGGTGGAAAGCCGATACTTTTAGTCCTCCAAAAGTTATTCAATTCCGTCATACACGAAGGAACTACGCCGGAAACATGGCAAAAGAATGTGATAGTTCTGTTCTTCAAAAAGGGAGATAACACTTTGCTGAAGAACTACAGACCTATCTCACTTCTGAGTCATGTGTGCAAGTTCTCGTGGGTCAAGAACCGTCTCGAACGCAGATGATTGATGACTTTCAGCCTCCCGAAAAAGCCGAGTTCCGAAAAAGCTTCAGCACCATAGATCACATACATAGGCTTCGCCAGATTATACAAAAGACAGAGAGAGGGCATTAGCCATTGTGTCTAGTGTTTGTGGGCAAAGAGAAAGCGTTCGATTTAATCGAAACCTGGGCAGTGTTGCAGTCTCTCCAGCGATGCCATGTCGACTATAGATACATCGAAGTGCTCATTCAACTCCAGGAAGACAGCACAAAACCAATTCAATTGCAGAAAGGCGTGAGGGAGGGAGATGTAATTTCTCCGAAACTGTTCACAAACGCATTTGAGGACGTTTTCAAGCTCTTGAATTGGAGCGGAATTGGCATCAATATTAATGGCGAATAATATATACAAAACACCTGCGCTTCACCGATGATATAGTCATTATGGCAGAGTCGTTGGAGGACCTGAACACCATGCTCAGCGACCTCAATGTCGTTTCTTACAGGAAAATGAACCTGGACAAGACGAAAATCATGTGAAATGTCACATGTACTCGTCATCGTTGGGAACGACATGCTTGAAGTTGTTGACCATTACACATACCTTGGTCAGGTCAGTTGAAGAATCCAACTAGGATAGGCAGTGTTCGGGAAGTTATGCGATGTCTTCTCATCGGCAATGCCATAGTGTCTGAAGATGTTTAATCAGTGTGTGTTGCCGGTGATGACATATGGTACTGAGACGTGGTCCATAACATCTGGCCTTTTAGAAAAACTCTGAGTCGCTCAGCGCGCGATGGGTCGGGCTATGGTCGGGATCTCTTTGCGCGACAAAATCCGATGTTTTTATATTATAGGACGGCTTACAAGCATGCGGATTGCCTGATGGTAAGCAATCAGCGCCGCCCATGGACAGCCGCAACACCAAAGGAGTAACGAGTCGCGCTCAGCCTTAGTCGAGGCCATGGTGCGAACCTTGAGGAACTGGGACGTAAGGCACCGCGGCCTCGGCCTAGAGCAGGGCGCAGTGGTCGATCAACATTGCCGTTGTGTCCGAGCCGTACTTCCCCCTAGGGATCACTGGGTAGCAGACCTGGATGGTTCGGCGACCATCATGTCAGTTCCCCGACCCTTGAGGGGCCTCAGCGTGGCACGGCTCAGTTCAGAGAGATCACCGTGGCGGGTGTGTACTTTTCTGCGAACGGAAACTTCGCCGATTTCCACAACACGGGAGTAAGTTGCCGCCGTCGTCGGGTTCTGTCCCCTTCTCGTACTTGTCCTCGGGTGGTTCGGGCCCTATTACCCCGATCACAGAGCGATTTCATGCCTCCGGGGCCACTCGCAAACCTGGCTGGTCACTTGCCCTACGTTTTAATTATAATAAAACTTTTATTTACCTTGTAATGTATGTATATTTGTGAAATGGAATTGGTCACTTTGTAGCCAATTCTGGAACTGGGCTTCTGGGTCAAGCGCAATAATGTACCGCAGACTCGGCCAAGAGCAGGAGAAGGAACGGGATGGTTTTTAGTCAGTAAGAGTCTGATACTCCCTTTCGCCTCACTCTGATTTCTCCTCCTCTTCCTCACGACATTTCATAAAACAAACATCTTCAACAGCTGAAAATATTTACACACATTTGGTTTGCATGACCTAAGCTGTGAAATGTTAAGTGATGTATACATAAGTACGACTTTACTTGAAATCCATTAACATTACTGTAAAATGTTTAGCCCTGACAATTTATCAACTATATTGAACTTGATGCAGGTAGCGCACACGTTAATCCACTGGTGTTGCGGATGTCTCTGGGCGGCACAAATTGCTTACTATCAGTCAGGTCGTTTGCCTACTTTTGACATGAAAAAGATAAAATAATCCTCACGATGGTTTTCTTTAACGCTAGTCAACAAGGAATGCATGTAGCAGAGATGAGAATGTTAAGATGGATGTGTGGTGTGACGGGAATGGATAAAGTGAGAAATGAGTAATTAGTAAATTGAGAAGTGAGAAATGGTATATTAGAGGAAGTTTGAAAGTGGCGCCAGTGACTGAAAAGTTGAAAGGGAACCGTTCATTCATACTAAAACAATTTACACCTGAAAAAGAAAAAGATTAGAAAATTTCAAGACGTATAAATGCTTTCTGAGCAGCACTAACTGCTGTTAGTGCTGCTCCTGACTCTGCTTAGCAAAGATGCGCATTACCGCATGGAAGCCGTCTATCCTGACTTCCGCAAACATACCGGAGGCTCTGCAAAAACGAGGCAATCCCAACAACATTCTAAATCCGTTGTTATATTGGACGGACCTACGTTCCCTTTCTATGTCAGTGGTATCTGAATAAACTTTAAATAATCCATCCTCCATTTTTGAAGTCGGTTAAAAATACAAATAAATCATTGGTACTAACAAGGTTTCAAACTCCCCGTGGATAATAAATCCCCCCACATAGTAAAACAATACCTTATCACATAAAACAGAAGTTTTATAATAAAACTTTTTGCTAACTTCATAAACTCAATTAAAATAACCGACCACGGGACTCAGGAGCGTAACAATAACAATATTACCTTATTCCCGGAGCGGTGTATCAAGACTAAATTATAACAAGACTAGCTTTTGACCGTGACTCCGTTCGCGTGGAATAGTGACTTCCTGCAGATTTTTGGTATAAAAACTGTTCTATTTCATTTCTCGACTTTCAATCTTTATAGTACTTACCAAATTTCACAGAAATCGGTTCAGTTGTTTGGGCGTGAAGATAAAATAGACAGACAGTCAGTTACTTTCGCATTTATAATATTAGTTTGGATTAAGAAAAAAGCTAATGCATAGATAATACATATCATATTTGTTTGTATCATGTAACTAGTTTATACAATGGAAAAGTTTTGATTGTATTTCCTTGTTTATTCTGTTTGATGCAATTCATGTGTATCAGTATGTTTACCATATTATAAAGCTAGTTAATAGCAAGATAATATTTTGTTTATCTTTTCGAAACAAGTGGTTTTGATTTGGATATTATTTTTGTGTTGGAAAGGCCATTAACCATTTTTTTTGTTAGTGGTTAAGTTCGTCATGATCTCTGACTCTTACCGACTGACAACGCCCCTGCTCCTTCTCCTGCATTAGGGCGGGGCCGCATTGCCTCATTGTGCTTACCCTGCAACCCTGGCTGAACATCAGAACTGTAGGACCCCATCTGTGGTGGAATATTGGGTCTATGAGGCGCGCACGGCACGCTACGCGCCGTATGCTCGGGTCTGATTATGGTCGGGCGACGAGAGTCCGGCTATTAACCGATAAAGGCTATAAAATATCACGCTTTAACCTGTAGGAGATGAGCTGCGTGTACAAGTGCGACATCTAACTAATAATAAGTAAGAAATTTAGTTTTGGAAAATATAGGATCTCGTTACTAACACATACTGGAATGGCGATTTTAAACAGTTTCCCAGTAGACAATTAGATAAATGACTGCACAGTTGTCGTAGTGGCTGGGCAACGGGCTGCTATGCAACGATTCGCGAGTTCGATTTTCGCACGGAACAACACTTTGTGTTATCCAAGAATTGTTATTTCGCATCTGAATGGTTTGTGTATGTGACTTTGTTTGTTTACGTACCCACGACACAGGAGAAAATCCTAGTGTGTGGTGTAACGTTTTTCTGGTGTCCCCTGCCTACTCCCTCGAGAGATAAAAGGCATAACATCAGGATTATTAATTATAATAATGTTAAATGTAAAGTTATAATCACAAACTTTGTCTTTTAAAAATATAGGACAATAAGTAACAAGGTATTAAATAACCCTATTTTTTATTTTACCTCACAACATTTTTTTTCTTATCTTTCGAATATAGGTCTGTACTATTTTCCTTTACAACTTTTCACAAATTATGCCGAATAAACTTAAGACCAATTCAGTCAATATTAAATTTACTTAGCCAACTTTTGAAGTTTAACTAAAGTCAACTAGAAACCGAAATGTCCAAGCCACATAAACTAGTTGGAAGTTCCTAAATAGCAAACAACACAGACATCTTGTAAACTTAATCGACAGACATGATTCTACGTATTGAGGGAGTGAAACAGCGCATAAGTTCCACGTACTTCAACCACGGACGTAACTGCACTTGCGCGGTTCATCAATCAATAAATAGTTTTACGTCCCTGGGAAGTAAAGTGTGTCGTGGAGAACCCTTTGCACGAAGCATTCCTGCAAAGAAGTTCTTATCGTCACGCGAGTGAACCTGTTGAGTGTGCGATCAAGTGAAAGATTAGCGGTAAGTCGGGCTTTGTATTATGTTATTAGATACTCCCGCTTGTTACTAAACCTACTCGACCGATTGGCCAGAGACCTTGAGCAGACATATTTACGACGCCATTTTTATCAAATCACTCATCAAAGCGTGCCATCCTCTTACTAATATAAGGTTTCTTTCTTTATAGACAATGAACAGCGACGAAAGCTTTAACAACAGGAAGCAAAAACTTAGTAACATCATTAAGAAGATCACTGAGAGCCAGTTATTAAAGACGCAGGGTGACCCCAACGCCCGGTCCCTTAGACAGGACTGCAGCTTCGGGATGACCACTAAAGTCCGTGATTCAGGTGAGTACCAAGTAAAAATAATGAGTTGAAGTTGAGTGGTTTGTTAAAGTTCAATGATATGAAAGCCGTAGCAATATTGTAGAAAGACGATGACACTTGTACTACGCCGTAGCCACTACGAGCTACGGCGTAGCATTCTAAACAAAAGTGTGGTTTCTATGTGTGTTGTATTGTAACGTGATAATATTGTTTACAGTTAGTATTGGGTATCTATAGATGGTGCATCTAAGAGTCTGATAAAATAAACAAATTATAAAAACTAAAACAAATTGAACCACACGAATACAGATTATTCTGGCACAAAATTTTAAATATCATTGTAAATAATCAACTTTATTGATTCCAGAGGCCAACAAGGGGATCCCGATGTCACATCTCAACGATAAAGAGATGACTCACGTAGCGGGAAGCAGTAGCAGCAGACTGGACCTGCCGGGGCCAAGCTCGGAGGATGCAGCCTGTATGCCACCACCACCACCCCCAGGACCTTTAGGTAGCACGCAAACGCGTCTGTAAGCCTGCAAACTCCAGGAGCTTCTTATCCTACGCCCGGCAACGCTTGGATGGATATAGAAAGTAATAATCCATTAATTTACCTCCAGTTGTCGTATTACATGTGTTAATGTACGTATTTTTAATTATTATTATTAATTACGGCATCACCATAAAAGCCTTTGCGAGATTGTATTACTCAAGTATACGATCGTAGTAGTGTATATTATTTAATAGACGCCAGAGCGATTAATGTTTAATGTTTTGCGCTGCTGATGTTGTGAGAATAAGAATATGGATGGCGATACAGCAGTGAATTGATCTATGGTTGTCATATTTAGGCTATTAAGCTCAGCGATATGAAAACCTTGAATTAGATGAATGCTTGGTTTCGTGTTGTACATAATGAATAATAAGAATTAACTAATCTGATTATCTTAATCAAAGTTTCCAAATTTTTATTCAAGCTCACAATCTTATATTTAAATGTCCTTCAAAAGGTTTCTCAAAGATTATTTTTATACTTAAAGAATCACCCTTTTATATAATTAGCCTAGAATAGAGATACAAAAAATAAAGATTTAAATTCGCCATTCCTATTCATATGGTACATAATGATTAATTAAAAATTGAGTCTAGTTGTATTAATTTTTCAAACGTCCGCTTTTGCCTGGAATGGAATCGCTTTTAAATTATAAAATTTAATTAATTTATTATTAAGTAAGTGTTTCCCGGCTATTATGTATGTTAGTAAGGTTTATATTTTTAATCTACAGGGTGATTTCGAAGCTAATCGAAATAATTTTGCTCATCTTTACAAAAGTTGATTTTGGTCTGTTATCTTAAATGTGTAAGAGTAAGTTTTAGTGAATTTTTCTTCCGTTAGATACAAATGTAACCTTTATGAAAGATTGAACAGTAAAGACCAATTGATCGATCTTTCTTATTTTCTGAGAATGTGTAAGTAGGCTCAAGTTTGTAACGTCAACGTGTTAGGATAATTATGAGATAATATCTCTTTTTGGATTAAGTGTAATATACGCATCGTTTAGTGTTATAATAGGTGTTCAAAACAAATTGTACCATCGTCACTAACCTTGCAAATAAGGAGCACTGGCGACTGAACATCCTGTACCTAGTGAAATAAATGTTAAGTATCCGTACTTATTTGTAGGAGTAAGTGGTGTCCTGATTGAGCTTAAAATTAATTATAATTATTTGCGTAGTAAGTGTTATTTATTTAAAGGTATATCTCATTGTAAGTGCTTCTTTCGTACGTAATGTGAATTGTTTAGTTTAGCGTTAGATTAAAAGCTATTATTACGGTAATATTAACGAAGGTTGCTAGGTGTTAATGTGGACATTCCATGAATGTCTTATCGTAAGTATTATACGCCATCCCGGAGTTGCTAGGAGCCCCTTGGTTAATGATAATTGATAAATGTACGTCAGTGATTCTTTCCAATATTAATATTAAGTATTTAATGATATTTTTCAATAGTAAATGTCTGAGTGTTCTTCCAGTAATTCACATAGAGCATTAATTCAAAAAGTTCGTAATATTCGGAAATGTGATGATAGTTGAAAAAGGGTAAATCTGAAAATATTTTCGTATTTCTATAAAAAAAGTGTTGGGAAATGTGCTGTTTGGGTTAATGACATTACACTATATCTTAATTGATCCTTGATACAGTATTCTTAAAGATAATATTTCAATAATACTGCCTGTACATATTAAACGTTTGCTAACAATACGATTTACCGATACATATAAATGTCTTCTTATCAGAACTTTGGATCTTTGCATTTTACATATTGAAACACATTTTACATAATCCTGTGGAATCAGTCGGCATTTTTGATAATTCTTTTTTTCTCAAAATATTGTATTTGTATGTATTTTAAGACTTTCCGATATAAATGTTTGTTGGATATATTGTAACGACTATCTTAAGCCGTTCACACAAAATTGTAGTTTCTGAATAAAATTAAATGAATAAACGTTACAGAAGTTTAATTTAAAATAAGAACGTCTTTTCTGAAATTAGTAGATACTAATTAGAAATTAAATTACGAATTTTATAAATATATTTAAAAATTAATGACTAAAGAAATGACGTCCATAAAGTTTCTATCCACCATTCTCAAAAGTGAAAGAGATCATCAGTGATGGTAAAACTCTTAAAGCAGTAACAGCCTTAATCAAAAAATATATAATCCATGTATATAAAAATGAATCACAAAACAAAACAATGCCTGGCCCAATTTTGCCAATTCTTTTTTCGTTGTGTTCGTTATTGTCAGTAGAAGGTTCTTATGTAAGAACATTTTAGAAAAGTAGAGGGGCGCGCTGGAAAATGGTGACCCTTTCGTCATTAGCAAGATAGTTGTAGACCCGCGCAAAGCAGGGGAGGGTAGCTAGTATATAATAATTTAGGGTTATTTAAGTGGTCTTACTGAATCAGTGATATTAATGTTCGTCTTAATTATCTGAAACAAGTACTACTTTTTAAGCTTTGCCTTCAATACTACTGCGACTCAAAGTTGTAGAAAGGCTATATATTATACTAATTTTTGGATTTTGTGGGCCCACGCCTGCACCTAATATTTATCTTGTTTTCATATATTTTATCTGCATATAGGGTTAACTGCATGTGCGTGCAAATAAATAAAAACAGATTGCGCCAAATTTCGCTCACTTTTAGGTTTTGTTTCTGGCTGAGCGCTGAATCAGTTTCAGAGGAACGCAACAGTTTGTGGATCACACGAAGGGTTGTTCCGTGCGGGAATCGAGTTGCGCGGCAGCCAGTTGCCACGCCACCGCGTCAACCTTGCAGTCGATTCGGATTGAATTTGGATCTCCATCCGTCTTGATAGTCTGTGATGGTGTAAAATTGGTCGCGGTTGTATATTTAAAGACTTAGAAGGTGGAAGTGGAGATAGTGGAACTCTTCAACCGTAGTAGCTACTTATTTTTAGGCACATTTGGTTTGTCTTCAGTCAGGCAGAGGGTGAATTTTTTTTATGGCATAGTACGCAAACGAGCGGACTGATCACCTGATGGTAAGCGATCGGCGCCGCTCATGTACACCCGCAGCACCAGAGGAGTGACATGTGCGTTGCCGGCCTTTGAACTAGGAGTCCGCTCGTTGCTTGAAGGTTTGAAGGTCGTGTCGGTTCGGTCGCCGAAAGATCATTCCAAAGTTTTGCTGTGCGGGGCAGAAAGTTACATGTGAATGTTAAAATGGGTAAAATGTATTCTTCACGTGGAACAATGGTGAAAAGATGCGGCGGGGATAAAACTGAACAATTCCTCAGAAAATTAAATGTGATAAATACGATAGAGAATACATAGCAAGGCTACATCCCTACGAGTACGTAAGAGTCCAACCTGTCCGAGACAACAGGGCAGTCAACAATTCGGAGAGCTCGTCGTTGAGTGCGGTCCAGGAGGAGAAGTTAGTACTGGGGTGCCGCCGCCCAAACATGAAGATTCCATATGGGGCCGAACTTGCGCCTTGTAAAGTAGCAGGTGATACCCCGGGGTGAAATAGTGCCTCGATCTGTTGAGCACACCAAGCTACTTCGAGGCTAACTTGGCCTTACCCTCTAGATGACCGCGGAACTGGACTTCGCTCGTTTTATCGACACCAAGTATCCCAATACCGGCCGAGGCTGTCAGGGAGGTGCTCTGAAATTTAGGAGATACGACCAACGGCAGTTTTTTAGCTGTGAACACACAGACCTGTGTCTTTGTGGGGTTAAATTCGACTAGCAGTAGCAGTAGAGGTATGGTGAGGATTGACGGGACAATATCCAAAACATTAAGTTTTGAAAAAGGAGTTCGACAAGGCTGTATTCTCTCACCCATTCTGTTAAATATATACGGCGAATACATAATGAGGTGACCTGGGTCCCTGTGATGACAGGGATGGTGGCATCGCCGTCGTTGGACAAAAAAATTGCAAATCTGCATTACGCAAATGATACCACTCTACTAGCGTTCACCTTATTTAATAGGATGGAGCTCAACAGCGGAGAACTGGGACTCTCCATTTCGACCCTCGACAGATCCAAAACGAAGATCATGGTTGTAGATCGCTCAGGCAAGCTTGAACTTACTGGGACACTTGATCTAGAAGTAGTTGATAGCTTTATATGTATACCTGGGCTCAGGCATTACCAATAATGGCTCTTGCGAATCCAAAGTACGAAGTAGAATTGGGATGGCATGGCACAGCTTCTTTGTTTTCAACAAGGTGTTCTCATCTCGTTGAAAACAAAGAACAATCTTGTGGACACAGTGGTGATTTTGTATGGCAAAGATAAGTGGACCTTGAATAAAGCCGACCGTGACCGCATTGACGCCTTCGAGATGTGGTGCTGGCGAAAAATACTAGGGATTCTTTGGACGGCACACGGCCCAATGTATCGATCCTCCAGGAGCTTAAGATCCAGACAAGGCTCTCTTCCATATACTTCCGCAGGATTCTGGAGTTTTTTGGACACATTGCCAGAAGGAACAATGATAACTTGGACAAGTTACTGATCACTGGTAAAGTTTAAGGAAAGAGACCTAGAGGAAGAAGTCCGATACGTTGGACGGATCAGATCCGCGCCACTCTCAACACTACAGTCCACGACGCTCGCCATTCGGCGGTAGATGGAAATCGATGGCGGCGAGTAATACGCTCAGCGCGCTATGGAAAGGAGTTCTTTGGAGCTCGGAGTTTCTTTGCGAGACCGAATAAAAAACGAGGATGTCCGCAAATGAACAAAAGTTTCCGACATAGCCCAGCGGATTAGTAAGTTGATGTGGCAATGGGCAGGGCACATAGCGCTTAGAACCGACGGCCACTGGGGCAGAAAGGTTCTCGAGTGGAGGCCACGTACCGGCAAGTGCACCGTAGGACGTCCACCCGCAAGGTGGACAGACGACCTGATTAAGGTCGCAGGAAGCCCCTGGATGCAGGTCTCTTCCACCGGCCTTTCTGGAAGTCAATAGAGGAGGCCTATGTTTAGCA